ATTTTTTAAACTTTATTTTGTTATTTGAGAAATTGCGTTGTTTTTGGAAATCGATGAATTTATATGTATGAATCGATATTTACATGAACAATATTCGTTTTTAAAAAAATTGGAATATTTGCTTCGGACAAATGTTGCTATGCGCAGGTTCTAAATGGATATGAAAAATATTTTAGATAATTTATAAAAATATACAGGATAACTGAAAAGAGAAAACAGATAATGAGATTGCATTTATCGAGTAAAGAATGTAATATGTTTGTATATATCTACTATATTGCTCACAATACTAGACATGAGTGTATGTAATAATCCAAAGCAATTTGTGAATGAATAGCTACAATGAAAATCAATGAATAATTGAAGAATCGAATTAAATCATGGCATAAATAATTAAATCATGTCGCTAATTAACACAATGCGAAGTAATCAGCCTAAATATTGTGTTTATCATTGTACTTAGAATTGTATACAAATTAACACGCTGTACGCACACGCGTACAAATATGCATGCATTCATTTTATCATTATGGTAATTCTACGTTACACGTAATATATATTTAGCTATGCTATTTTAGACTCATTAGAAATTTGTTTCATTTGAGCACACCCAGTTTTCTTTCAATACTTCTAATATGTCTTTAATATAAATTAATTTTGTTAAAAAAAAAGAACGACGATATTAAGACAAAATCGAGCAGATAAATCTGCAATATGTTTGCGAATCAAGTAAACTCTAAATAAAGGGGGAGATAATTCCAAAGCCAGAAAAAATAGACAAATTATCAATACCCGCAACATGAAAAACAAAGAAAGAATGCAAATCAACTATCGTATTTAGTCAATACCAACTATTCCTGTAGAATATCCAATTTGGTCAGCTTTCAAAACATGTCGAACAAAATCACAGAATGGGGATCAGATTTCGAATCATGATTACAGGCATCTATACGAAATTTAGATCTCTACTGAAACGCAAACTATAATTCGACTTCTGGAAGAAATTAGTACAAGTTAGAACATGGCTCTGAGAGCATCAGAAAAGGCAAGGCAAGCAAACCAAAACTAATTGAAAAGTTTTGAAATATTTCGACAAATAATGAGGAAGATCAAGTGGACTGATAGTATTATGAGCCAGTAAGTACTGGCCAGTACTTACTGTCAGAGCCAGTACTTCGGAGTTATAGTCCTGGATTCTAAATAGCAAATGTTATTGGATTATAATATAAGTGTACTTTAAAAGTGTAAGCAATAAAGTAGTTCTTATATTTCAAGTCCATATTCATTTATTATTGATTAGAAATAAAATAAATAGTGAAAAGCGACTCATCTGGTTCTATGTGATATTAGAAAATGTAGAACGTAATTTATAGTAATAAAAAAAAACTGTGTTTGATACATCATCATAAATGTAAAAGAACAGCAATTACATGCATCAACTAGGTGCACCTGTCTTAAGTTTGAAAAGCTCAACAGTTGTGTAAATAGTTGAATTCAAATACTAAATATCCTTCATCGAGAAGTGATTCAGCGTTTGTAAATTATAAAGAAGAATTAATATCATAATTTGAATGTTCGCAAAAGTTATTGAAAAAAATATAAATTAAAGAGATTGACTTTTGCTTGTTAATATATAATTTGTTGAGATAACTATCATTAAATTCACATTTTGAACAAGCATCTATAATTTTTTTTTTATTGTTTGAAAATTAAATTTAACATGATGATTCTTATTACTACATATAATATCAACGTAGTAATACTCTTTTAGACTAATAATCCTATGAAAAACTAGTTCTAATTTTTCATCAATGTAACGATCGCTGCAGAGATGCAATTTTTAAGAAAAATAAAGAAAAATGCCAATATATATGCATTTTCATCAATTCCTATACTAACACTTTATTATTAATGATGGTCTTACATTTATGGACAACTTTCTTAATTTATATGTAATGCGATATTTATTCATATCATAATTTACTACTACCAAAATTATATAACAAAATAAGTGTATATGTGTAATACCGTGTATTTTTGAATACACATACACACACACACATATATATATATATATATATATATATATATAAATATATATATATATGTATATGTATATCATATACATAGTTCGCAATATTTCTTCATACTGAAGCAAGCCACGAGGAATAAATTGCATAATAATGCAACGAACGTGATTTGAGTAAATATGTGATACTTTGTATGATATATTTGAAGCATGTATATACACCGATATGTATATATATATATATATATATATATATATATATATATATATATATACATATACATATAATAGGTGGAAAAGTATTTTACTCCAGCAATTATTGCACATGAATAAAATAGTTTTATTTTAAATTGACAAATTAGATTTCCATGTTTACTCGTTGATCAGTAATTGGTAAGCAAAATAGTAGTAAACGGTTAAAAGCATGACCATGTCAATAAAAAAAAGTAAAAAAGCTACTAATAATAATCGCAAAAAACGGAAAATAAAAAACTCCCAAATATGTTCCCCCCAGGAAATTTGGAGCTGTGAACAAACTTTAATGAAAAATTTCATCTCCTCCCTGCATCGTCCATGTTGCAAAACCTAAATAATTTAGCAAACTTATCGAACAAATTTAAAACCGAATGGGAGATAATTCACGAAATCTTTAGGATACAACATTCAAGTCGTGTGAAAGCTTCTACTACAAAAGAGAAGTGGTACATAAATTTATAATTCGAAGCGCAACCACTCACCGTTTACTGTTACACAGCTTAACATTTCACGAAACGTGACAGAGCCGCATCTGAAAGCAAGAATAGAATATGTGAATATTTAAGGTGCCTAAGTTGACGAAGTGTTGCGCCAAATAAATAAGAAATATTTGCTTTGCCTTACTTGAATCGAAATAATATACGAATGATGTAGAGTAGAGCGGAACCTAAAAGTCCGCGGGTGAAAAGGTCCACCAACAATATCTCAAAAACAAGTAAATTTGAGAATTGTTTAATAAATATATTTGAAAAAAAAGGAAACAAGATGTATTACCAGCCGTCACCTTGATTTTTAAGACATGGCTATCGGGAGAAAAACGAAAATGTTTGAAAATCCGTAACAAAAATATTATGTTTTGTTATTATTTTTTGGTTCTGAGCATCGTTGATTAGTTTACGAGGCCTTAATATAATTTTTAAGTATACGATATTTATTTGCTTGTACGACGTATTTTTAATTTCAAGTTAGATTCAACAATTTTTTATAACTTCCAAAAAAAACTTACACATAGGTGGGATAAAAAGGACCAATTGAACCTGCTCTCCCATGAAGAATATGTAAACAATAAAAAATAGGAAATAAAATAGTAAATTAATTTAAAAAAGCAATTTTACAAAAAATAATAGTTCAGTATTAATAAAATAATAATTTATTAATAATTAAATTAATAGTTTGTCCAACCCTGCTAATAAATATTTCTGACGAAATAGTACACCACGGTTATACGTATATAGTGTTATCTCTGTAAAAATGCACCCATGAAATTTACATTTTGCATTGATTGAATAATGTAGCTATTATTTCGTAAAATTCTTTTGAAATTAAAAATAAGACATTAGACCAAGGAGCAACCTTGGCTGTCCCATTGTGCCCCATCTAGTAGGTAAAAAAAGTCAAGTGACAAATTTTTGAAAAACGGTAAAAAAACACATTTCCGCTATGATGAATTACCTGGGCTTTTTACTGAACATAGTCTGATCGTTGTTTGTTTGATATGTGTTATTTGTAGTGATATAATTGGTTTGGTTTTCATAATATAATTGCCCAAAGTCAAATTAGACCATTGTGCCCCGCCCTATAAAAAAATGAATATCTAAAAATTTCATGATTTTTGCTAGTTCAGTTTGATAATCTGAATAATCTTCATTATTTATTTCATATTTATCCTCATTATTTTAAGATCAATGATGCGTTCGCCGGATTGTATTTATCACTTAAGCTGATAATTTGGTACTAATTCACACAGACCCTCATATGATGAAAAGGTTGGAAGATGTAGAACTAGAATTACAATTTTCTCAATCATAATGCACCAAATAAATTTGCACGTAAATATTGTGATGGATTAAAAGTTGGGGTTGATAGCCCCTTTCTCGGGTGTTGCAACGACTGCCAAATATTATATTTTAGCGTTGCATCCCCATTATGAAAGGGTTACGCCAACTCCTTAACCCGACTTCTAAGGACACCCTGCAATTACCTGTGGAAACTGAACCAACTAACTACACGAATGAAACAGTAATAAGTTATTTAGCTCATTTTAATTGAGTGAATTTCTAATGTAATAGATTTGACATCAAATATTCGTAATATAATAATAAACCGATTCTTATAGATGTTACTAGATAATATTAATTATGAAATTATAAACTGAAATAGAGAACCCATTTAGCAAGATAGAAAACATATGAGATGAATGAAATAATGAAGAATATATGAAGAATGAAAACATTATTCTAGGAATTTACAAAATTAAGCATTCTTTCACTAAAAAGTCAATTATTTTTCTACTTTTCTTATTACATTGTTCAAATTTAGCGTTAACAACCTTTTAGAAATGTGTATATTGTCTCACACTCAATCACTCAATTAACTATCAATTTTCTTCCACTATTGCAATAATTTGTAACGACATCAACACTATATACTAATATAGGCTAGTATAATTGTATTTTTGAGTCCTCTTGGAAGAAATCTGTGGGCTATATATTTAAACATAAATAATTATGATAATACGATTTTGTACTATGAAATATTCACCAAATTAAATCCGTCACTGTTCTTAAGTTATTTAATATAGTATAAAATTATTTATTATAAATTTAATAAATTTATTATAAGTTAGTATATTTAAGTTTAATATAATATAAGTGCGATTGATATTAATTGAATTGAATTTTTTAACTTTTATAAAATATATTTTCTTATTTTTCAGAACCAAATGAAATTCTCTTTATCATCCTGAGTCAACCAAATTCTTATAGTTCAAGTTTAGCTGAAAGTCTGCGAAAGGATATTTTAAGACAAGCCATCGATCTGAATAAGGTAACTTTTTTTATTAAAAAACCAAGGGTTTAGATGTCTCTGTGTGTATATCTTTTCTTGAACGACGAAAACCTTATCAGATTTTCGAACAGACTCACGACTGAAGTATTTTATCGCATTCTTCTTGTTTTTGCTTACGATTTGTTCTACTGTTCCATTTAGCTTTTTACAGTGTTCGAATTCAAAAATAAAGCATGTCAATCAATGGCGTTTCACAGATTCGGAAATAACGAAGTACATTCAAAATAGATACACAACACAAACGCAACTTTGATATGTACATTTACATATTTTTAAAAACTGCCGAAGTCAATTAATTTGCCATGCAAAATATTTAAAAATATCTATGTAGGCCGAATACTCGTTCGGAAGTTTAATTAATTATTTTACAAATACCTATATTTAAAAATTAATTTAAAAAGAGTGATGAAATATATTAAATTTCATAAAACTAGTTTATTTTTCAAACAAATATTGTCGCACAAACGCAAATTGGCTAACTTTCTGTGTAATAAATTGAGAAAAAATTCATTGATCAATTTTGAAGTACGAATAAAATTTCATAAAAATCGATAGCCTAATGTAGATATCGGTAAAGCAATTTGTTCTTAAATTATATTTAAAAAAAAATTTCAATGGTACGTGGTGGGTATCAGCTTGATTACTTATTTAACGGACTGTTGGTAAGAATTTTTATGTCAACATAAAAAAGTGAATGAAACAACTGTTTCTGTTGCTATATATATATATATATATATATATATATATATATATATATATATTGATTGTTTCTTTTCCGAACAGTAAATCCAATAATAAAAAACAATTTGTTTTTTGAAGATGTTTAATACGACGTTTCGGAACTAGGTACGTTCCATCATCAGGTTTATTCTGTCAAATACAATGTTTTTTAAAATACTGATTAACATTAATTAACAATGGTCAATACAGATTAATTAGAAAAAAATTTTGTTATAAAGGAATGGATTATGTACCGGATAGATAGTAATAAGACTTAACTAAAAAAGGTTTTATATAAAATTGAGAAGCAAAAATTATTTACCTGTAATAATTTATATATCCATATCACTAATATTTTTTTGTTAAAAACACTCGATTTTTTTTTTTTTTTTTTTGGAAGATATTTGTAGATGTTACGACTACACAAGACTTAAACACACTGATATGGATTTCTGTCTGCCAGATGTAAAGGACAAAGCACGGAACTCTTGGCAAAAATGATGATGGAATGGATGATGGAATGCTAAACCTGATGATGGAACGTACCTAGTTCCGAAACGTCGTATTAAACATCTTCAAAAAACAAATTGTTTTTTATTATTGGATTTACTGTTCGGAAAAGAAACAATCAATATATTGAAAAAATCCAGGACTTATCTATTGAATATACTCCAGAACACAATGGGACGAAATTTCTTTCAATCACTGTCAAACACTTCAGACCACAAGCACCACACTCTGATGAAAACATTTTCAAAACTCAATATTAAATATGCAAAAGCCATCAACAAAAAAATATTTTTATTACGATGTAAAAATGAATGGATTATACCGAATTTCATAACTAATATTATCAACCAACAGTTTTTACAAACAACTTCAAATATATATAAAATTGAGCGGCAAATATCATACTTACAAAATTCAGTACTTAAATTAGAAATAAAAAATTCTTTTATTGACATAAAAAATAAAAAAACACGAATAGATCAGATAATAAATACACTCCGAGAAACAATAGATAAAAATACTTTTAATAAATTTTTAGAATTCGAAAATAAAAAATACGATAAACACTTTCATATTATTAAAAATAAACAAATACAGAAATTGAAAAATCTTATACAAATTCGAGATAAAAATTATCCATTTCATGTTTCTAAATTTTCGATAAACAAATGGCTAATAAATAAAACCAATATAGTCATTCCAGAAAATATCCAATACATTTTAGCACTCGGTCCAAAATTCAATTACGCACCTAGTAAATACAGAAATAATGACTTCATAAAAATTTTAAGTAACATAGAATACAATATCAGGAACATTGAGACTGACAAGCAAAATCGAATCAGGTCAAAACTATGTGAAAAACTAGTTAAACAATTAAAAAAAGTTGATAAGAGTTTCCAACATATTCATCTTAAAAGACTACACAAAGATATAGCGGAGACCAAATTATTCATTAAATCTAATAATATAATTGTTTGTCCAGCAGATAAAGGCAATATGACGGTAATTCTTGACAAAGAATTTTATACTAACACTACATTACGAATGCTAAAAGATGATACTACTTACAAAATCATTACAAATGATCCAACACAACAGTTTTCTAGACAATCAATTAAATTAATTAATGAATTAAAAAATAAAAAATTCATTTCTGACAAATTTGCCTATAATTTAAAAGTACAACATCCTATTTCCCCAAAAATGTATTGTCTCCCCAAAGTCCACAAACCTGAATGCTCCTTTAGACCCATTGTATCCTACGTTGGCTCCCCATTCTATAATATCGCTAAACACATTGCTAATATTTTAAAAAATGTCACAATTTCCTCTCCTCACTATGTAAAGAACTCTTACCAATTTGTGGATCTAATCAAAGACCGAAACATTACGGACGATCAAATTTTTCTAAGCCTTGATGTAATTAACCTTTTCACATGTGTTCCCCATGATTTAATACTTGATTCAATTGAAAAACGCTGGCCCACTATTTGTAACTACACCGACTTGCCCATAACCACTTTCAAACACATCATTAACACTGTCCTGAATTGCTCTTATTTTAATTGTTTCAATAATTTTTATCTACAAATCAAAGGTACTGCTATGGGTTGCCCATTATCCCCTGGCATCATAGACCTAGTTTTACAAACCCTTGAAATTTCCGTTTTCTCCACATTAAATTTCCAAATATATTTTTACGTTAGATATGTAGATGACACTTTTTTTATAATAGACAAAGAACAATCAGATATAATAATCGATACCTTTAACAATTACAATAAGAGCATTCAGTTCACACATGAAACACAAATCGACAACAAATTAAACTTTTTAGACGTGACTGTACACAAAATTGACAACATTATTTGCACAAATTGGTACAGAAAAACTACATGGTCCGGGAGATACCTTCATTACGCGTCATATTGTCCCAAAAATTATAAAGTCAATACAATCATTTCTTTGATAGACCACGCAATCATGTTGTCTCACTCTTCTTTTCATACCCAAAACACAACATTAGTAACTAAAACTTTATTAGAAAACGGATATCCCCTCACCCTCATCAATTCCATTACCAATAAAAGACTTTCCTATCATAAAAGTAACAATTATCAATCCATCTCCAAGTTATTCCAAGACAACAATATTAAACCAACTTTTCACAGCATGCCTTACATTGAAGGCTTATTTGATTATTTTGCCAAATTACTCAAAGAAGAAAATATTTTCATTTCAGGAACAGCTCTATATTCTTTTAAAGAAATGTTTTCAAAAATTAAATCCACCACCCCTCCTAAATTCAATACTAACATAGTTTATTCCATCCCTTGCAAAAATTGTCAAAAACAATACATTGGCCAAACATCACAGTACATTCATAAGAGAATGAGACAACATGAATTAAGCGTCACTCATCATAAAAGCCGAAATTTCCAAAGTACTCTTGTTCAGCATTCCATCGAAAACTCACATAATTTCACCTTTGAACCCAATATTTTATATAGAGAGGATTGTACTTTTAAAAGACTTTTTTCTGAAAGCAGTTTAATCTTTTTGAATTCGTCAAAAAGTGTTAATAAAAGATCAGATCACAATATCATTCATGACTCATATTTAAATTTTTTAAACCTGATTAAAAATAATTAATCCTAATAGTTTTTGAATATGTGTATATATATACATGTATATATGTTATAATATATGTACATCCATATATATGCTTATATGTATGTTTTTGGGTATACACTATACACATACACTTGCATATGTGTTCATGTGTATAATTGTGGATACATTAATATATAGATATGTGCATATGTATGTATGAGTATGTAGGTGTGCATATACATGTTCATGTATGTATGTATATATATATATATATATATACATAATATTTCTCAACATTTACTAAAGCAATATTTTTCCTTTTTTCGTAAATTACCAAACAAGAGCCATAAAAAATCATTTTTGCCAAGAGTTCCGTGCTTTGTCCTTTACATCTGGCAGACAGAAATCCATATCAGTGTGTTTAAGTCTTGTGTAGTCGTAACATCTACAAATATCTTCCAAAAAAAAAAAAAAATCGAGTGTTTTTAACAAAAAAATATTAGTGATATGGATATATAAATTATTACAGGTAAATAATTTTTGCTTCTCAATTTTATATAAAACCTTTTTTAGTTAAGTCTTATTACTATCTATCCGGTACATAATCCATTCCTTTATAACAAAATTTTTTTCTAATTAATCTGTATTGACCATTGTTAATTAATGTTAATCAGTATTTTAAAAAACATTGTATTTGACAGAATAAACCTGATGATGGAACGTACCTAGTTCCGAAACGTCGTATTAAACATCTTCAAAAAACAAATTGTTTTTTATTATTGGATTTACTGTTCGGAAAAGAAACAATCAATATATTGAAAAAATCCAGGACTTATCTATTGAATATATATATATATATATATATATTGATCTTTAATTTACAAGCTCCTTTCTTGTATTCCTTTTGCTAGACTCTCAAATATATTATAATTCACACGTATTTATATGCACAAATCTTCTTACTCCCTACACCGAAATCTGGTTGGTAATGATAGTTCCTGGTACAATCTTAACTAGTATGCTTTATATTTTGGAATTTAGCATAGAAATCTAGTTCATGTAGATTAATAGAAAACACAGCTTAAATTTATGTTGATATAATTGCAATATATTTGCATACTATTAAGGTGGCCATACATCCCGGATTTCCAACCCGTTTTTCTAAAAGCAATTTTTGTTCCGGATTTAGATAATTTGTCTTGGATTGCCCCAGTTTTTTTAAATGTACTTTACAATAAAATCATAACTAGTCATCAAATATCAGAAAATTATACATAAGCACATATCGAATATAGTCGAATACAAATTTTCCAATTGCGGATTAAAATAGGCTCTCACATTAATAAATACGAACATTTGTTTTTAATTTTACAAAAATTAACAATGTTATGAAAACACACAAACAAGTGTTAAATGCTCAAGCTAGTTATGAAAAAAAAAATTGATATAAAGCTTGAAACCGAAAAAACATAGATCGAAAAATATAAGATGATATAACATCATAGGTCCCTACTAAAATCTGTAATTCTGATTGAAAAATTGATTTATTGAAAAAAAGCAGTTTTTTATTGTATCCTCAAATGGTATTGGTTATTTTAAAACAATATTTATGTTATTTAGTATAAAGCCCCCCTCCCCCATCCCGGAATATCATAACCAAAAACTGCAATCCCGGTTTTGACTTCCAAAAATATGGTCACCTCAATACTATGAATTAATATACTATGATAATAATCCTAATTAATTTGGAGCTACAGACAAAACGTGTAAATTTTAGAATAAACCTAAAACATAGCAATTTTTATTAATGAAACGCCAGATCATTGCAGCTCAATTCATATATAATAATGTTTAAAATTGCAGATTATTTACAAAAGAAATGGAATAAAATTATTCACTTTAAGATATGCATCTCGTCCCACTTATTATGCTATTTCAGAACGCTAAATTAGCAAATCAGTAATTATTCTCCGGAATAATTACTATACAAACTTTTCCGCTTATATTGCTTCTTGTTTTGACTATCTATTTGTATAAGTATAAATTTGAATTATTTACTTTTAATGTAGTTTGATAAACTAAATCTATAAACTCAGAATATTAGTTTATTTTGAATGACATATAATATCAAACCTACAAGGTTATTCTGTGGACATTTTAAAAGTCCATATTATAAATTACAGGAAACTTGCAAGAAACCGTTTGAGCTTGTTTTTGTGAACCTAGGTGCATAGCAATTTAGCTTATTCGTCAAGATGCAAGCATAGAGAAAGAAATGGTGCAATTTTCTATCAAACTTAAAGAACGACTTGCAATACAAACAAATAGCTTTGTACGCAAAAATGTCTTTACAAAAAGTCTTTTTGAAATATGTGCTTTTAAAGATACGTCAGACTGTGTAATTTATTTTAAAAAATACTTACAAACCAACAACCTATGAATATAAATTATTGTCAAATATACCATTCATAGCTTACAATTTACTAATACCATTTCTTTTTGGATAGAGCAAAATTAATGTAGGAAAAATAATGTATCAATATCGTTAGAAGTTACACCATGCACTTATATTTGATATAAGTGCCTTATTAACCCTCCGTCGGGCGCAGTCCAAATATGTACAGAAACGAGCGCAGTGTATCTGACAGATACAGATTATAAATATATTGACAGGAGGCTTATAGTTTAATATATTTTTATTTAATTTGCGCTTTTACAATGCTGAATATGTATAGTATTTGTAAACAAAAACAAAATATATATTAAACCACTGAATGTATATTTTTTCAGGAGAATTAAACTCTTCTCCTTTTTTTTATCCTTGTAAAATAATAATAATTATATATTGTATAAATGTGATGTAATGTAAAACTATACATCTTTGGGTAGAATACCTCAAGGTAGAAAAACCCATATTTAATCCAATGTATATTAAAAAATATATATTAGATCAATATTATTTTTATAATATGCAAAATGCTAGACGCACAAACCTTACTTTTTCTGAAATGAATAATTTAATTAATTATATAAAAATGATTGTCAGATTCTGTTGAAATGTTTATACAGAGACTATATAAACAATTAGGACAATAAAAACTTAGTGTTTTTTGTCTTTTTGTACGTCAAATAGAATTTGGCTTAGTGTGTTTTTTTTAACAAAATTGCTACTAGCAAAATATGCGAAGTTCAAAGACAATCTAATATGGACAAATAAATAGTAGACATAAAATAACGAAGCTACTGAGATATGGAGATCTCGATGAGATCAAATTGTGGAGAAACATGCTAAAATGTTGGCCCTGTATCTGTCAGATCGGCTGCGCCCGACGGAGGGTTAAATGTTAACATGAATACAATTGTTTATAACTAATAAAAACAAAATATTTTCAATATATTTCAGACGCCGCCAATAATCCACCTTACACACCTGGATTATCCCGCAGCATCTTCATGGACCGTTCTACCTTTATTGCCAACAATTACTCAAACTTGTAACTTATCCGTTGAAAGTACAAAGTATAGAAAAAAACACTCAGATCAAAAATACGAATTGGAGCAACCAAAACCTAATAGAAATAAATTTAATAAAGCAAACATTAATATATTGCAAAAAACCGAAAAATATTCCAAAAATAATGTGTCACATTATTTGGATCCTATTTTAAAAATATCCAATTTTAAACGAATACGGAAGAACAGGGAAAAAAAGGAAAGAATCCGAATTAATTGGGTTTTTGTGTGTGAAGATAGAACATATGTGAACTTGCTAAGACTATTGGATGTTTTATCGAACAAAAATTATGAAGACGTAAGTATTCAAAAATAAAAACTTAGTGTCGGGCGCCCTCAGTAAATAATAATAGTAATTATTAGGTTTTGCATATATATATTTTATCAAATATATTATATAAACCGTTTATTTTTGAAGTGATTTAAGTTCATTTTGATCTTTCATAAAGTTTTATAAAGTCACTACACTATTAAATTAATGTCTTTCAATTTTCCGTCGTCATTTTTCATATCTGTATATTTACAATATGGCATTACCTTGTGTTCACTTTGATGAATTTACTCCTGTCATATAATTCGTTATATTTCATGTAACAAAAGGATTTTATATAAATGATGCATTTAGAGCCTATTGCTAAAAAATATGACATCGTATCAAAAAATAGGCAATCCAATTTCGTTCTGAAACATTTACCCTTGATTGTATGAGGCTAGAGAAATTGGTTTACAAAAGTACTTATATATATATATATATATATATATATATATATATATATATATATATATGTATATATATATATGTATATATATATATATATATATAATCCGTGCGTGTATTACGTTGATATATGTAATAATTGTGTTTTATGTTTGTGTTTTTCATTAATGAATGATATGAATATTTGATTATAAATTTATTGGAAATTCATATGATTCAATGGCAATCAAACAATAAATCGAATTTTACATAATTACTACTATTGTTATAGTATTGAAAAAACGGCCTGCATTAGTAATTATTTTATCATACATAATAAAATATCTAGTCGTGAATGGCATCGTGCCTTAAGGCAAATTGCTAGAACTTCCCGTGCCGTAACGAAATATTCGAGGAATATTAATCAATCGAATTTAAAATAAAGGATAAAATTGTATAATATTTATAAGAATTACATAAACTGAATTGGAAAGTTAAAACTATTTATTTCAAGTAAATTAGTGAGATTCAGAACTTTAGCTAGAAAGAATTTGAAATTCGATTTATTTTCGATGTTCAAAAAAAAATTCCCAAAATCAATCATTTTGGTCAACACAAGAGGAAAGTTTTTTTAATTTCTCTCAAAACCCGCTTTATTTTGCACATTTAGCTCGATTAAAAAAAACTCGATAAATATTGCATTCGCCAGTTTTTGTAAGTCTAAATCGTTTGACTCAAAATTGAAAAATTCACGAGAAATTATAAATTAAGTCATTTTTACATTTTGCCAAAGATTTCTAGAAAACCATTTAAGAAATGCTACCAATAACATCAATAAAATGCAATGGAAATATGTCTCATATATGTTAATTTTATGAGATGATCGGTTTAGTTATATTATACCAATTAATCATTAATATAAGAATATTTTAACATTTTTACAAATAAAAATAGATTTAGATACACTTTCAAAGATAAATGGTGATTTATAATAAATAATAATTCGATAATCAACTTATAACTTAATTATTAATGATAAGTTGATAATTACCAGTTGAAAAATATTTTTTATTACTTTTACTTTTAATGTTCATAATTATGTTACAAAACAAAAATGATAATAAAAAATACTTTTAGTTTTAGGTGTATCAAATATAATTTTCAATAAATTATAAATAATTTTTTTGAATTTTTCAACGAAAATCTTCTATGTGAAAAAATAAAATTATAAATAGAATTAGCTATCCAAAAAAATTTAATTATAATAATTATATAAATGGTGTCCCAGATCCGATCGTCAAGCCGAAACGGGGTGTAGTGTAGTGTTGATCATAACTTTTTATGTAAAAATAAAATGTTTTTATTATTACTCGATTTTTTTATTATTCAAAACTATCAAGTATTATACCATTTTGAAATCCCCATTGCCAACTTTAGATAAAACTTAAAGAGGACGTCTCAAAAATTACCAAATTCGTACTTAAAAAGTCGTAATCGTGAAAACTTGGAGCAATGGTGACATAAGTTTTCACTGTTGTTTTAGAAATTTTATTTACAGAACCAAAAACTTCAATGAACATAATAATTAAAAATTAACGACAATAACTGAAAAATTGTCACATTTTTACCAAAGCTCGGGGTTACACTTAAAAGCTCATAATTTTCTAACTACGTTAGATGATTTTTTTAATACCATAATTTAATTAATTATTTTTTTAATAATAACATAACAGTTATAATCAACTCATACTATTACTCCGTTTTTCTTGACGTTGAGTTTCGGAACACCCTGTACAGTACTTGTTTTCTTTTAATTTCGCATCGTTAACTTACAAGTTTTACACTTTTCAGCATTTTCATTTAAGAGTTTTGTTGATAAAATTAAACTAATAAAGAAACTGAGTTTGAGTTCGAGAATTGTTTATTATATATTTGTTTATGATAATTAATAAAGGAAAAGATAAATCATTAAACTTTTCTAGCTTCTCCAGTACTTAGAACATTCAGTAATTGTGTTTACGCCAAAATAGACGTGACAACATCGCATTAATTTTGGCGCAAGAGAATTGCATCTTCCAACGATGCATGGACATTTGCGACCCAAGATCGGCAATAAAGTTGCCCTCTAGATACCTGAAGGCGGCCCTAACAATATAGTCTAAATCCAGTCGCGAAACTATACATAGTCTTAACCCGGTCGCTAAGCTATCCACATTCAAATATTCCAATATTATATCAATATTAAAACTTTATCATACAAACAGTGTAAATTATATTCTACAAATAAATAAGTGTAAATCTATTTGTTATTAATCAATATTTACATTTTAAAACGGTTGATAGAGCCACTAATTCTATCTGGTCCTTCAGCTTATACTTCAACAAAAAACATTGGTCCAAACGATCCGAATTTGATCACCAGTGCGAAGGAAATAACTAAAATAATTAAATCTAAAATCAAAAATTAAATAAAGTGGAAGTTCTAAACAAGACAGGAAGTTCTAACTTTGGCGCTACACCAACGAACGAGCGAAGCAAGCAGCGAGTGAATCAGGTTAGTCAAGCATTCCCTTCCTATCTGTCTCTCCATATTTAATAATTAGAGTTCAATATAATATGTGTCAAAATGGAATCATCAAAAACATTAAAGTCACTAAATATCAAGCAACTCATAATTAAATCGCGATTAGCATCTATCGAAAAGATTTGCAAGCAATGGTCAAGCATACCTGTTTGTGAGTTAAATATTTTAGATATAAACCGCTTTATCGAATATGTAAAACCTTTTTAAAAACATATGAAGATACGGTTATCGAAATAGCAACATTACTAGACGACGAAGAGCAAATTGATAATTTAATTGAAAACGAATTAGATGAGTTTTATGACAAATACAACAAATGCTTGGCAACATTATTAAAACTTAGTCAAGTTTCATTAAATAAATCAGATACTAGTTCGGAAAGTAAATTAAATTATACCACAACAAACAATGCAGGTAACATAAAACAGCCTCAATTTTATTTACCTCAACTAAATGTTTCTAAATCATTAACGCTATCTAATCATAAATCAAACTTAGAAGCTCAAATACACACATCTACGGAAATACACAAACCATACAACGATATACAATATGTCACTGAACATTGCAAAAAATATTTTGTTTCTAATGCTAAGGCTACGCCTAAAATTATGGCAAATAACGGAAGTTTTGGGACTAAAATCAATTTTACAAAAAATATCAAAAACATAAAACGCAGTAAACAAATAACATTAAAACGTTATATTTCATTTGAATACAAAAATCTATTCACTGAATTCATAAACGCATGTACACCTAAAATATGTTTCTATATACCCCATCACAGCGTGTTAAAGTCGAACAATTTAATAATGAATTTTTGCGTATTTTTCGAAGAATCTTTTAAATTCAATACAAATCTGTCGTTAACTGAGCTACAACTTGTTTTACCGACTATCCAAAATAAAATCTTTTCCATTATACCAAAATTTAAAATGAATACGTTAGTACTTACGGTCGATATAAAGAAAATGATAAAACAAGTTTCAGTTCAGACTAGCGACAGAAAGATGCACCAAACAGTTTGGAGCAAAACTTCTAATGACAAAATAAATATTAATCAAATAAATACGTTTTTGTCAATGCAATCAATCAAACAAAACATAACCAAACAGCTTAAAATATTCGAAATTCTCACAAATTATCCTTACGTTGATAGTTTATTAACTAGAGATAATACAATAATGAAACTATTATTCATTAACAACAATCTTACTAATCTTTTAAAACAAACTCAATTAAATCCTTATCAATTGAATTCCAACTATTCAAAACTTTTAATTCAGACTATAAATATCGGCGAACAAATTACAAAATCTCTACAGACATCGTCGAATTTATTTTTATATTGTTTTAAATTTAACTATAAGATTAAAACAATAAATCTAATAGCGAATAAAAGATCTATTTTATCAGCTACTGTTCAAACATATGATACAAGAGATTTTTTATATCCAATCAACAATTTAATTAAACTAATAATGCAAATTCTAGGGCGGTCGAACTTACCACATCACGAGGAAATTTCCTCAGAATTACAAAATGCATTAAAACAGTTTTCTACAAATATGTTAGAAAACACATTAAAGTGTAATGAAATCAAAACTACTAAACACTTAAACATTAAAATAAATATATTACTTATATTTTTCGATAATCGTCTAAGCATGAAATCAAATGGCTACACATATAATCCGCGTATAAATGTGTTTTATATCAGGTCAAATTCTAGCTATAAAATAAACCTAATGGTAGCAAATCTAAAATAACTCTATTAAAAAATATCGCACGTATATACCTCAAGCTAAGTACGGCACAATTACTAGCAGCTCTTGCACAAAAAATGAAATATGCATTAAATATTACGTTTGATAAAAAATTATATTGGAGCGATTTTAGTATCATCCTTATGGGAATAAAATCTCTATTTTACAAAATAGAAACTCTTTTTGCCAATAAAATAATTTTATTCACACCGAAACATACGCAAACTATTGGTTGCATGTCGAATCATAAGACAGACCAGCGAACTCCATTTCACGCAAGTGCTATACATAATCTATTAAATTCATCTTTAGTGGTAAGGTCCCTTTGACATATAACTGCAACGCGCGATTAAAATTGTTACAATTTTATTAAACTTAAACGTGTAAAAAATAATACACTTAAATTATAATTAAACGTAATCGTATAAAAATAATACACCTAAATTACAATTAAACTTAAACGTGTAAAAAATAATACTAAATCAACAAAGAATAGGACATTGCATGCTCTATTAATAATTCACAAGATCAATTATCACAAAATATGACAGTCAAGCAAGACATAATTACAAGCAAGAACTTGCGTACGCATCATACAAATATCCAAAACTTAAATACATTTATACTATTATTAAATAAAAATGGAATTTTGCACGTTGGGGTTCAGACCAAATACTTGAATTTAATCTAAACAAATGTCAACCCATAGCGCTGTCCAAAATTCCACTCGTCTATCCATTTCCATACCTAAACATGAACATTTAAAAAATCATATCACCACTTTGTACAAATATCTATTTGCCTATAGGAACTAAAGGCTTACTTAAATATGTACATGTTTCCAAATGCAACACACATATATTAATTATTAACTTTGTACAAATATCTATTTGCCTATAGGAACTAAAGGCTTACTTAAATATGTACATGTTTCCAAATGCAACACACATATATTAATTATTAACGGGCAATTTATCTACATTTGTACTATCCCGCATTACTCTTTCTTTACATGCGAATTCTTAGTTACAAAAGAATATCACTAAACAAGAGTGTATAAAAAATGAAGGCTTTTTTATGACTTATATTTTCGCATTTTTATTAAATACAAAATACATTTCTAATCGAACTTTACAAAAATACAAAATACATTTATAGTCGAACTAATATCTGGTTTAACACTAAATGGTTGATAGCCATTTTTAACACAATTTTGACGCAACGCATAAATCTTGTAAATTATATTTATATAAGGAAACTAATCTTATAAACCTTATAAGGTTTTCAAAATAAATAAACTAAAACCAGATTATAAATAATATAGTCAAATGGACTATATCGAGGTTTCATATACCATCAAATTTTCATATAAAGCTCATCTAAAAAAATTTTGTAAATTTTCGAAATTATTTTCTAATTCTAATTCTTTACGGTAATTCTATATGGTTCAAACACATATCGGAACATTATTGAACTCGAAACCAATCTCTTAAGCTCCAATCCGCAAGATTATGATCCATTAATTCCTAATCACTTCCATATTTAAAATCCTCAATCTCAGCTCCCTATCCATCAATGCTTGATATTCTTGGAAACACCCTTGCTCAACACCAGGAACTTCAAAGAAAAAAAAAACTTGTGCAACAAGAGTACAAGAAATGCGCCAGGGTTGCAAACTACGACAAATGGCAAGTACAACTATCGTAAACAGCTGAAATGGGGAATTTGGTAGTGGTCAGAAAGGACAATTTACCTTCACTACATGGACGATTGGGGCGATTTCTAGACACACACCCAGAAGATGATCAACTTGTGCGCGTGGTAACAATCAAGACTGAAATTGGTGTAGTTAAACGTGCAGTTAATCAAATCGGTGTATTACAAAAGTCATAGACAATATATTTCAAACAACAGACTATAATTAACTTAGAGTGATAAACTATAATTTTAATTTTGAAATCATATACACTATATTATTTCAAGGGCGAGAGTATGTTTACGCCAAAATAGACGTGACAACATCGCATTAATTTTGGCGCAAGAGAATTGCATCTTCCAACGATGCATGGACATTTGCGACCCAAGATCGGCAATAAAGTTGCCCTCTAGATACCTGAAGGCGGCCCTAACAATATAGTCTAAATCCAGTCGCGAAACTATACATAGTCTTAACCCGGTCGCTAAGCTATCCACATTCAAATATTCCAATATTATATCAATATTAAAACTTTATCATACAAACAGTGTAAATTATATTCTACAAATAAATAAGTGTAAATCTATTTGTTATTAATCAATATTTACATTTTAAAACGGTTGATAGAGCCACTAATTCTATCTGGTCCTTCAGCTTATACTTCAACAAAAAACAAATTGTTTTGACTTTATTACAGTCGGTCAAGTAAGAGCGTGGTCGGGTTAATTTATAAAAATAATTATTTTATGAAACTTTAATATTTATATATGCAATGTATACGTTAAAAGCAAGGATGCAATTTTAGTCAATATGTGTCCAGTCACCACCGGTGTCCAGTAACATCTCCGACGCCTGCTTTTTACTAATTTAACGGATTATTTTAGTCCGACCGCTCGTATTTTAATTTAACGGCTCGATGAGGGCAGTACGTGCTCATATAGAACTTTCACCAGTGAAAATGACATTTTCAAAATCTCTAACAATATTTTCATGTGCCCAAGCGGAAAAGAAGCACATGTTTTTCAGTCGTCAGAGGCTTCCCCGTTGTGTTGCGCCATTTCAGATCATGAATACGAAGAGAGGTTCAGATAGTTTTGTAGATATTTCTAAACATTTTGCCATTAATTTTGCTCGCCCTTGCTGCTGTTAAAGCAGGATTCCGCAAATACCCATTCACTGTTCTTTTTTCTTCTTTTTTATTTGAATCACGTTCTGAAAAATCATCGACTTTTTTAGCAACTTTATATAGGTGTAGCGAATTCTGTACAAATGCCTTCAACTTTCTCATATATTTAGCAGCAGCTGATTGCTACATTTGGGTACCTTTTAGGTGCATGCAAATGGGCGCAGCCTCGTAGCGCGACGCGTAACTTAGCACTCATGGCGTTTAACGTAATTTTTTCTCAAAAGATCAACTGCAACTAAACCTTTTTTGACAATGCATCAAGGACAAAGCTTCACTTTATTGGCTCACGAAAGAATTAGACCAAAATCTTTCATTAACTGTCGTTAAAGTCGACTACGCTCTTACTTGACCGACTGTATATGAATTTATGAATGGATGGCGACCCAGTAATTGTCAAATCCAATTATGACTAATCAACTATTTGTTGTCATTTTTATTATATATATGCAGCAACATCAAGTGGAAATTTGACATCAAAGTTGCCTGATGTCGGGCTTTGGCGGTAGCGGGAATCGAACCAGCGAACCCGGGACTAGTTGGTGCTATCGCCTCCGTCGGTCTCTATATAATAAATAACCTCGATTTTCATATACTATATTCATAAATTCGAATTGTATAATAAATTGTGTGAGGTAGTTACTGTATCTGTATATTCTATTCCTCAATCTATTAAAACTATAAATAGATCATGATAAGCGTATAGTTCGTAATAATTCTTGAGATGTGTTCGTATAGTGAATTTCGAATTCAATTACTCTCGTCTTTCATTTAAGGATATGTACCTGGGCCATGCATTGTACGATAGAGAGGCATCCATCATACATCATTTTGCTTTTATGCAAGATCCCACCGTGTTCAAATACCCACACATCGGAGCCGGCATGGCTTTGTCGAGAAAACTTGTTAGCAGGTAAGGAATGTTGTAAATTCAGTTAATAACTGACGAATGGGTGAAATTTTCTGTACGATATATTACTGCTACTTCTAGCAACTAGTAATGTATATGCTCTTGCTGAACTTCATAAAATTTCATGCCGATGTTATATCGGAGATATCATAAGGTGAAGACACGGGGAATCACCTTTTCAACTATTGAGAATTTCACGTGTGTTGTTTTGAATATGTGGAATAATTTATATATTATATTATATAAATATACATATATATATATATATATATATATATATTAGGGTGGCCCTTAATATGGACATTTTCAAATTTCCTTCCTCCCAAGGGCTAAAATGGTTCCAAATTGATAAAAAACAATTCTTTGAAAGTTTTAGCTCTTAATATTAACTTTTAGATAGTGCGCAATTCAATCAAACTTCCTATGGAAATACCATGGAAAAATTTTTGAAAATGAAAAAAAAACAATTATTTTAGGTATAACTTAGCGACAAATGAATCAAAAGTGAAAATTCGTGTCATTTTTTATTGAAATTTCGATGCGCTGCAAAATTTTTGAAAAAAAATTCATGCTATTTCCATACAAAACTTTGATTGAATTGCGCTCTATCTAAACGTTAATATTAAGAGCTAAAACTTTGAGAGAAATGTTTTTTTATCAATTTGGAACCATTTGAACCTTGGAAGTAAGGAAATTCGAAAATGTCCATATTAGGGACCACCCTGATATATATAGGGTACCCTAGACCTCAATGTCCAGCCGAAACGGGGTAATAGTATTGATCACATCTGTAATGAATTGAATTAGAAAAAAATGCGTATCACGTAGTTTGAAAATTGTGAGTTTTCAAGTGTAACCAAGAGCTTCGGTGAAACTGATCCCATTTTTGGATTTAGTTGTTAATTTATTTTAAATTTGTTCATTTGAATATTTGGATCTTTAAAAAAAAATGCACGATATTGTCTTGGCAAGTGCCATCAAAAGTTCGTGCTTATATTCAGGATTGTTAAATGGTAAAATACTTAATAGTTTCAAAATAAAAAAATCGAGTAAAAAAATGAAAACCTAAAAATAACAAGATTTTTTTATAGCATTTTACTCACATGTAGTTCAAATATTTGTCGTACGAGCAAGCTGCACCTTTTTTTTTAATTTTAATTTTATTCTGCTATATATAATTACATACAGCAGAGAATGTTGACAAGTTGTTTAGAGATCTTTTTATACTTTTTTACTCCATTTTTTTATTATGATACTATCAAGTATATTACGGATATACAATCCTGAATAAATGCTCAAACTTTTGATGAAACTTGTTAGACTTAAAAGTTATTTTTTTTCAAATAGGGCCTCTCGAAGTCAATAAATTTATAATTTTAAATACATAGTTTAAACTAAAAGTTAATTCTTGAAAACTTGGGGCAATTGTGTTATTATTTTTCACTTAGAAATCCAAAGTTTAAATAAACAAATATCAAGAAAATTAATTACAAAAACAAAAAAAACGGTTCACATTCTTACCAAAGCTCTAGATTGCACTTTTAAGCTCATAATTTTCATATTATATGAGATACATTTTTTCTAATTTTTCTTTTTGGCAGTTATGATCAATACTATCACCCCATTTCAGTTTCACTTCTGGGACATCCTGTATATATTCATTCAATAAAAAATATTCTTTAAATATAAAGTAAAATAAGTCAAATCTGGAAGAATCATAAAAAATTAAAACCTATTTTTACTATTTGTTACCAATCACTTATGTATCCCTTATTTCAGTAATTACAATCCAAAAAAACGCAATTCGGCACCAGTAAAAATTTATTTACATTAGCATATACTTGGAGAAAAGGCACGAAGAGGATTTATTTCAAAATAATAAACAAAAGAAAAGATGAAATAAATATTTTGGAATGAAACAGCATACGTGATTAATCAAACCATTTACGATACAAATTGGATTCCACTGCCAAACACAAAGCTCAATTCAATTTACTAACGACTGAATGGTGAGGGCAAAGTATTGCGAAATAAAATGCAGAACAATACATACTAGGTGTAAGTGGCATTTTGCCTCACATCAGTGCAAGTTCGATAAACTTTCCGATACATATCGACATGAATAATCGACTTCATTAATAAAAATTTAGATTAAGCCAATGGGTAATATTTTCAACTTTTTATTTCGATAATAAAGTTTGCACTAAAATCGCCTGAATGCGATTTCTAATTATAATATATGTTATTGTATTAACTTATTAGCTCACAAACACGCTCAAAAAGCTCAGCTCATTATTCCAAGCTTCATTAAATTTAACCACTTTTTGCGGGACTATTAATATTTTAGCATGTTTTTTTAGACCACGAACTCTAGCTGTGTTACGTTTCATTTAAAAAGCAAGAAAAATAATATTTGATTATTAATGACCTGACCGATCTTTACCAAAAAAATAATCGACACAATCTTAATAATTATTATCTAGGATCAGTTCAGATTTTTTTTTGCAAAAACCTGGACGAAAAATTTAGTACATTTCTGCCAATGTAAAGAAAAGATCTAGTAAATACATTGAGACAAGAACGTGCATTGAGTAGATAATAATTCTGATTTATTCTGAAGAAGTATATTTCTTGAAAGTAGAATTATGATAAAATAAATGATTCATATTCGTAAAAATTATATGAAAAAGATACAAATTTCGAATATATATAGTAAGAATTGCAGCTTCGATACCACGGACGTTTTTCGTTTTGACTACCTATCTGGGTTTATTGAGAATCAATTTTTTTTGTTCTACGAATTCATTTTATTTATTTAAAACACTAGCAAACAGTTAGTACAGAATCCGCTTTAACGAAATATAAAGATCGATCACCTTTTTGGTATGGTTATTTTTTACTTCTACTGCTTTAGAATAAACCTGCTATGGAATTTATTTTCCATAAATCTTTCTGAACCTTTGGTAAAATTTATTTAATAATACTTCATTAACGGATGTTTGATTGAAAAATAAAAACTGAATTTGTTTTTAATTTTCACAATATCAATAATGGTTATACATTACGTAATGATAACATTACATTATTATAATAATATATCACATTAATACAAAAGAATATCAAATTAACCAAACAACATTATTATTACATAAATACAGAATAATTCTTTTTTTTTAATATCTTATATAAATCTTTTAAAAAAAATGAATTGAAAATATTTGTCTCATTTAACTCAAAAACCAAAATTTCATTTTTCATCATATAAACTACCCTGTAAACAGGTTTAAGTGTATACTATATCATATATTATATCTTATTTTCTTGTCTATGAAGTTTATAATTTTTACTAACTTTTGCAAATTGAAAATAAAAGTTCAATTTTATTAATATTGAGATGTTATTTTAACCCGCATTTGTAACTATACATTCGACATTTTTTAAATTAAAAATATATTGCTTCATATAAGCATACTAGTTGCATATATCATCTTCAGATATTTGATAGATAGTTGTAATTATCGAGTAACAAGTAACTTTAACATTCAATTTAAACCTCTTCTTTTTCAAAATCCGGGACAATAATTGCTTTTAATGTAGAAATCTAAATCAGGGGCAATAATTGCTTTTAACGAGAAAAACCAGGAACACAAGGTGGAACTGCGGGACTCTCTCGGCCAAACCTAGTTATGTGTATACGGTTATGGTTGAAACAGGAAAAAACGGAAAAGTGCTTTTCTTTTGCTAAATAACTTAAATATGATTTAAAATATCAAATACTTTTTATAGTATACTAGTATAACAAGAATCTATTTTTTTTAAAATAAATCAATATAATTTAATCAGAATTACTTACTTTCAGCAGGACTTTATTATTCGATAATATGTCCTATAATCGTCGTATAATCGTATGATACATTAATCAGATCCAATATATAACATAGAGCTCTTATAATAAATACCCAAGTTTGATAAATCGTTACTTTTGGCAATTAGATTATTTATTTATTTATTTTTAATTCAAATTTGAGTAATAATTGTTTTAAGAAATAAACTGCATTGTTTCTATAGCTTCAGGTGCAGTACGACGTTATAGAAGCAAATAATTTCCCTGTTTTCTTTGGTTGACCACTATATCGATTAAAATTTATTATTAAAGTGCAGTTCATTCCAATGTTATTTCAAACAGAATCTTTATTTGCTTTTAGTGCTGCGTTGATTTTTTTATGTATATAACCTGCGTAATATATCACTAAAATTGCCATATGAAATCCTAGCGCAGTACATTATATAGAATTTTTGATATATGGGTAGGTCTATTAAACACACCTTGGAATTTTAGTATTATTTAAATACATATATTGCAAATGTAGATGTGATTTCTGGATTCATCTAAAGCGTTAAAAAATTAATTAGTTGAAATTGTTATAAAAAAGTTTTATAAATTAAAAGAATACTATTCACTTACTCTTCAGAAGCAACTATAGTAATCACATTTAAAAATAATATATCAGTATACATAAAAACCTCTTTTATAAATATTAGATTAATTACGGGAAAATTTCAAATTTATCAGTCAACAGATCTAAACCTGAAATATAATTATGTATATATGTTAAATATATACAAATTCGCATAATATTCCCAAAAAATAGCCTTCGTAACTTCCCTGTCTGAAGCCAAAATCTAATTAAAAAAATAATCGCAAGACACACCTCCCAAATTAAATAATTCCGTTTGGCATAGAAACTAACACAAACTGGAATAAAATAAGCTATGAACATGATGACCTTTTAATCGAAACTGGCAACTGGTTCACCGATATCTGGATGTCGTAAACTTAAATGATATTATATATCATCTGACTCGGAAACCTGTCAGAGATGTTATGATTCTTTAATAATTTTATTTTTGCTAAATTTGCCAACTTACCGCCAAATTTTCTGAATTGCTTGAAACCAAAATTGAGAAATGCATGTGTGTATGTGCTTATGAGTGTATATATAAGTATGAGCCACTTATCATTTAATATTATCTTATTAATTTTATTATTATTATTATTTGCTTTTATTTTATATTAAATCAGCATACTACGGATACCATTTCATTGAAAATTCTATACTCAATTTTGTACTCTTTTTGTTTAAATTTATGTTTATTATTGTTACTAGATGTTAATTATTTAGCAGTTGTAACAAATATAGTAATTTAAAAAAAAATAAAAAAAACTTATCATTTCGTCGACGTTTCTTAAAACTTCTGAACCGATTTCATTTTATCGTCCCAACTGATGTTTTTTAAGGTTAACTGCAAAAGTATCAACCTTTTCGCTGAAAATCTTGAACTGATTTTGAACAATTAAAAACTAATCAAAATATATCAAATTGGAATTGTGCTGAATAATTTTGGTAAAGATGCGCTGAACCGTTTCTTCATAATGAATTATTTTTGACGATTTTAAAGGAACTTTGCCTTGCGATAGAGTTTGTGGTCTTCTCGAACAAACTAAAATAATATATTTGTACGAAAGGTGGTTTAGTTATCAAAATTTTATAAAGATGAAAATAATGGATCATTCTTTTGAAAAATTCACTGTGTACTAGCTCGGTTTTGTGATGTTGAAAATGCGACTTACAATCTAATTTATATTATATAAATTATATTTCAACCAACATTTTAGCACTCTTTATATTATTTACACGTAAATTTCAATGCAAAAACTTTCTGAGCGATTCACTGAGTTATTATTAATCATGACGAATATTATTAATATTATGTTAATATTATTGAAAATATTGACTTACATCCAGAAATACTGCTGAACAATATTGTTTGGTTTCGATAGAATTATGAATTAAATTCACTATTCTAATGCACTGATGAATCGTAGAATACTGACTAAAAAATCCAAACAGATGATGCGTTAAAATATTCGATTCAGACAATATATCTTCTTGAAGATATTCTCGAAAACCTTGGATCGAACAGATATAAGAGTGATACATACATCGGTAAGACGTAAACCATACTGCTCAAGTAGCAAAAATATCAAATCTGAGTATAATTTCAAATTTATATAATTAGTTTATATATAATAATAAAAAGTAGTACTCTGCCCGAAAGCAGGTCCACGGTGTAAGAGCACCACAAAATCAATGATTTTCTTCCCCTCCCTTGTTCATTATTCTCATTACCTAATTAATGACCATTAATCACTTTATATTTAGTTTTTATGAATTTTTTTTCCAAACTTCTGCTGCCATGCTTCCTGGTCCTGTGCTTCGACTTTCAGTTCTCTGTCGTCAATCGTCTGCATTCTTCTTCTTCCCAATCCTTTCAGTCCTATTTTGCCTTCGACGACGTCGTGCTGGAGGCACTCTTTTTGCATTCAATATACATATAGAAGTAAAGAATTCTAATATTATTTTTTTATTTCCAGTATAACCCGAAAATTATCTCTGCATCCAATCCAAAATGACTTTTCGATAGATGCATCCCATGAATTAAGTCTCTTTATATTGGATATAACGAAACTAATACACGTGAAAGAATTCTGCTCTGAGAAGAACGAAATTGAAAACTGCGCAACTTTTCCTAGACCGTTCGAGACTTGTGTAAGTAAATGATTAAATTAGTTTCAACAGTTAGCATAATTAAGGTTACTTCTACGCGATCAATTAATTCACTAGTTAACTAGTTGAGTTTCCCGAATCAACATTCCTTCTTGTTTTGAAAATAAATTGTGTAAATATCAAATAGAATATTGGATTATTGAAGTTGAACCTTTATCACAAATAATCTATACACTTAATTTTATTCATTACTACTACTTATAATTATAGCAACTTGTTAATGGACCCGAAATTTTCTGAAATTTGTACAATTTTGATGATCAGCCTAAACAACATATATGGATTTGAGATGTACTTATATAAATACAAAATACAAAAAAAAAATCAATTGAGCAGGTCTGAACTCGAAATATATTCTGTATGTAGGAATAAAAGATTCGAACCTAAGTTAATTTATTTTGAAATTTTTAAAAATTTGCAGGAACGTTTAGTGCCTTTTCGTAATTCGAATTCAATGACAGCATAAAATAAAAACCACCCTAAATTAACTTATAAAATGTCTATTACTCCACGTTGTAACTTATTATAATGATTTAAATACAAAAATTATAGAAGTCAATTCACAGATTAAATAGAAATGTTATGTTATAGGCCTATCAAAATGCTATGTCTTTACTGTGTAATCAGACGTTTCACACAATTAGAAACGTCAAGTAACAATTTTATTATAAGTACTAATGTGCCCCTTGTTTTTTTGGCTGTTTGTTACTACCATACGAAGATAGATTCGTAACATAGCGTTATCATAACTTTTCCATTTTATCGAGATTGGCCCTGTAGCTTTTTGAAGCCCAATTTTCACCGCATTTTTCAAGAATAACTGCTGTTAACCAGTCGTAGGGTGCATCGAAATAATATAAAATACTTATTACTTGTTCACATTTCAAAGCAAACTGAGGACCATTTTACACATTGGATACCATTTTACATTTGAATGTACTACGAAAATAAAATCGTAGAACGAAACAACTAATTTTTAAAAAAAATCATGTTTTACCTTCACTGTATGCAAAAAACTATTGCTGATTGCTTTGAAGATAGATTTTTTCGAATAATTTATAAACTCTATATTATTATACATAATATATGTTTTCTTAAATTTAATTAAAAACAAACTAATACCCAAAACATATCTTTTTAATAACCTGTTTAATTAAACTCTATATTTTATTAACAATATTTTTATATTTTATTTTAGGGCCATATGGTTTCGCAAGCGGCACTATATTTTGCTGTGAAAACATGCGAGAAGTTCCATAAGGAGAGACTGCCGGTTGTAAAAAGCACGTGGGGAGATAAAGCACAAAATGTGATATACTTCAGCGAAAAGCAAGGTGAGATGAATAATTATTTCATATTTATTTATAAGCACACACACATATATATACATATATACAATTATATATATATATATATATATATATATATATATTTACACCAGTGTGCATGTTTGTGTTGCGAATAGATGACGGGACTAAAACTTAAAATAATTTGGGAAGCTTTTTGAAATCAATTATGTTTCATCATCTGGTTATCTGTCGAAAGTCCATTTTCTTTACTTAAATAATTCAATTTATAATAAATAATAGAAAAAAGTAGGAGAAAAAATTTGACGTGATAAATTATAAAAATTCTCTATATGAACTGTGTTATAACGATCGAGTCTTATATTAGTAAAGGATATAAAAAAATGGACTAAGGTTAGCCTTCTTTCAAGCGAAAGTACTAATATTGAAACTAAATTGAATAATAATGTTTATGAAAAAATTTTAAAATTATTAATATTTACGAATAAAAACTTACATCAAACTCAAATTTAAATTAGAAAAAAACGAACGTTTTGCACAGTTTTTGGAATGACAGTTATATTTGTAATAAGCACTTATTTTTTAAATGATTGTTTTATTATTTGAGAGGCCTTATAATTATTCTCAAATCACGCAATTTCAATGTAAAATGAAAATTCATTACATTTAATTAGGTTTCTGAAGTCGTATCAAGCAACCTTCGATAAATCTACACTTTGTAAAAGTTTTTTTGAAATATGTTATAATTCAAGATGTTAATAAAATCTAATATTCTATACCTACATGTATTTAAAACTTTTAAGAAATCCTAAAATTTTACAGAAATTTACAAGTTATTTTAAATTTATTATCTTAAAATTCTATAAAATATCAAAGGTTGAGTATGAACAAAATTTAAAAAAAAAATGTCAGAATCTAAATATGTATAAATATTTTAAATATGAATGAAAAATAGCAGCTGGCATCAATGCGATTTTGCGATGACGACTTCGACAAATATTTAAGAATTATAACAAACAAAACAATCCAAATATTATACATCAATAAACAATGCAATCGAAAAATATTTTTATACTACGAAAATTACTTTAGCAATATTTTAACGTTTTTAATCAACGTCGCAGATAATATAAAATTTGTTTTAGTAATATTAAAGTTTACAATTAAATTAAATATTAAACTACTGAACTAATATTCCACAAAACATTTTTAGCACAAAATATTAAGCATCTTACTACAAGGAAAGTTTTTAACTAGAAAATACTGAGAGGATAAAAAAAACTCTGTCAGATATATTTTTGAAACGAAATTCAAATCATAAGGTTGTCGTAAGATGTCATCGAAGAAGAATACAGATGATGGACATCTGTATTCTTCTTCTGATTGAAAAACTAAAATAGAGAACACTGAAATCTGATACACAAGTCTCGAAGCACGGAATAAAAATATTGTAAAAAATGGTGTATAATTAAAAGACAGAAAAGGCAACAAGTTCTCAGATTATGTTCGAGTAGAGCACCATTATCCAATTTGTTATAATAGTGACTCTACTTTCTCGAATCAACTAACGGCTTGCGAAAAAGTAAATTATACATGGCGAACATCGATTTAATTCTGACCAATTTGTGAATATCGAAAATATTTAATTTCAAAAGTGAAGTATTGTTTATGCGATGCACTTCATCGCATTTAATGATATGCCTCGTTATTCACGATCAATATATGAACATGTCCTTCATAATTTTTTTAATAAATAATACGTTTTCTTTTTTAGATAACTCTATACCCACCGTTGGCCTCGATATTCCCAACACAGAAGCTGGTCATTGTTTGAAAACTATGACAATTTTCAGAAAAATTTTAAGCGAGATTAAAGATGGGAAAAAGAAGTTTATAAAGTGGATTATTTTAGCTGACGATGATACCATATTAAGGTATTAATTTATATTTTAGATTTATATTTATTCCTATTGGATCTTCCAAAACCAAGCTGTTGGAACTCCAACAGATGAGGATACCAAATTTTTTACTTATTTTTTATATAAAGGATTACGAAGTTATATAATGTATCTCTAAACATTTCAAGTCCTTTGTGCAAACTAATTTAATCATAAAAAATATAAAGCATTTTTAATTTCTAGGGTAAAATAGTATACTAACAATAAGCAAATGATGATAGAATATAAAGTTGTTTTATTGTTTTTGAGAAAGCTTTGCATTTTATTCACAAGAATAATTTCATCACTGAAATACATCATTTATATGAATCGAGTGGTTCAAATATTTAACTTCCATTGAGTTTGTATCATAACTCATTGAAAATCTATATTTTTTGTCAATCAAAACTTTATTTAAGTATTTAAAATAATGAATTGGTTCTTGCACTCACTTTATTAGATATTTTCAATTGCAATTCAATAATATGTCACTGTAAAGATAATATAAAATTTACTTCTAAATATCTTTGAAACAAATGTGTTTTATTAGTATTTATTTGCACCGTTAATGAAATATAATAAATATTATTTGAAATTTCAGTGTTTCAAGAATGCGAGAGCTTTTAAGTTGCTACAATCACACGAAGTCTTCAGTAATAGGAGAAAGATATGGTTATGTCTTACATTCTAAGGAGGGTTATAATTATATAACAGGTGAGTTGGATTTTAAATCAGCAAACCTTGAACAATATTTGAAAAATATATTTCCATCATTTCCTAATGCCAACTTATTTTTAATTAGATCTTAGTGCAACTCAAGCAACACAAATATCTCATAGTAAAACAAATATTAGTATTAATTTGCACAGTTAATTATTCTTTAAAAGCACAATAGATACTGAAAATTTGAATCGAATTTTCCTATAGCGCGACTTACACATCTTGAAAATATGAAGATTTTGCTATTATAAGTGCAAAATCTTGTAACTCTTAAAAATTAGCTTTTTTGATTAATATGTTCTTAATAGAATTTCGAATTTTCTTGGTAATTTTTAATTAATTATCATCACTGAAACAGGTGGCGGTGGAATGGCTCTAACAGTTTCTTTATTAGAGAAAATTTTAAACAAATGCAAATGTCCTAGTCCAAAAAGTCCAGACGACATGCTTCTTGGTTTGTGTCTCACCAGGTTAAAGGATGTAGAAATAATTCACTCACCTTACTTTCATCAGGTATATCATATATAAAAATAATTCCTTTTTGCTTAATTTTTCTCTATAATATATATATTGTATTGCTATTACAATACTATATTTTTATAGCCGTGAAATTTTTGTTTCTAAATTTTTTATTACTTCAATTTACATGCACTATAATAACATTACGCTTAATTGGTGGAATTGAATTAGCAAATGATGAAAAAGTAGTTCATATTTTTTATAAATTTGTGTGCACTCAAAATTCGTTGATTTACTTCGTATATCTTGTTCAAGTTTAAAGGGGTAAATTATTGCAATCGAAATATAAGAAAAATATATTTTTTTAATATTTTAGGATGATTTTTTTTTATAAATTTTGACTAATTCTTATCCTTTTTCAAAATTATTAAGAAAATATTTTTTTACATGTTAACATAACATTAAAATTTGTTATAGCTAATATTTTTTTTAGCTAACACACTGCTAAAATAAATTATCTTCTATTATAAAACAAGTTACAAGTAACAAAGAAAAATTTCGAATACATCGTTTGAGGGCAAAATTTCAATTACAGAACTTAATTAGCAGCTCCTATAAGTAGAATATATATATAACATAATTGTTATTAATGTACTTGAACGTTAATTAGTTAATGAATGCAAAGAAAACGAGATTAGTATTGATAATATTAACATGGAATAAAACGCCAATTAATTTTAGTTTGATAGTAAATGAAACAAACAAGATTTTTATAAATTATGATAAAAATTCTATACGAGAAATAAAAAAAAAACAATTTACATGCAATCAAAAAAAATCAAGATCACCTGATGAAAATTGCATTAGGTCAGAACAATTTTTCAAAAGATAGAAATGTAATTTATAGCCGCCTGCTATTATAATATATAATAGTTATAGCAGCCTACTAATATAACTGCTGAAAATGTAACATTTTAGATACTTTTAATGAATTTAAATTGTTCATTATCTTTTAGCAAATTGCCTCAAATTTATTTCTATCATTTGAAGATGCAATTTCAACCTTATTATCGTCACCAGGAAGTCACTAACTATTTGTTTGTAAATATCGCGTAACATACAAAGAACAGGCCATTATTCTTGGAATTGAACTATTATTATTATGTAAATATAATGAGGCTCTAGTTTTTACGTCGAAAGCATTGATTGGCAAAGCGCTTGAGTGACAATTTTTTGCATTTAAAGATGATTTGTTCTTGGTACGCAGATAAAAATATTTCGTGCACCAATAATAATTAGAAAGAAGAACAATTTTAGGCAAAATTATGTCGTATAATTTTGTTATGTAATATAAGCATAAGAAAACATACAACAACATACACTTCTAAAATACCACAAATACAATAATAGCCGCGTTTAAGAAACGCACTAACAAAATAATACTTGCAATGTCACTTAATGCTCATCGTGATCATTAGATAGATTATTTTTTTAGATAAATTGGTCAAAGAAGATTAAACCTGTTTTCGTGAATATACATATTCTTATCAAATGGAGATTGTTTGCGCTTTCGAGCTCTATCTGGTTATATCTGCTCTTATGTAAAATTACGCGAATCTAGATCAAAATATTTTCCAGAAACTGTGCAATGTTTGATATCTTGAACAATTGATTGATATCTGAATGATAGCCGAAGGTTAATGTACAGTGGCGTGACTGCGATCAACATGACAGTGTCATATTTAACCTTCTTTAGGAAAAAAACAGTCATCAATTTTCAATTCGCAAATCAGCATGCACAAGGTTGAAAAGAAATTGATTTAAAAACAATTCAATTACGCCTTATGGGGTTAGGGGTACTTGGAGGCACGAAAAAATGAGATATTTCAGGTTTTTTTTGTTATTAAACGATGTTTTTCTTACAAAAATAATGATACGGTATTATTATACAATGTTTTGACTTAAAGTAACAAAAATTTCAGAAAAAAAATATTCTCAAAGTTATAGCTGTTTTTGTTGACCCTGTTTAAATAAACGCTCCTGGCGGTGACAGTCATAATTCCTTGGAGATTCATCTAAAACCAATCAAATAAAAAAAATAGTTTTATAAATAGTTAATTCTGGGCCTGATCGAAGGTTTTGTTTTTTTGCAAAAATTAACAAAATGGTAGCATCAGCATTTTTTTTTCTAGATTTTTGGGTAAGACATCAACAGTTAATTGGTCGTAAAAAATTCAAATTTTTTGAAAAAATACAAATCCTTCGATCAGCCTCGAGCTTATTATGTATTTTACAAGCTGTATAAATTTCATTAAAATCTACAAAACGGTTTTTGAGTTACAGTGGTCACCGGTTCAAAAAACATAGTTTTGAGAATAACGCGTTTAAAGATTCACATTGGATTTACGTACAGAAATTCGAAATATTGAATTATTCAAACCGAGTCATCTATTTCTGGGCCATATAATAGTTCATCAGTCATTGTGCAAGTTTCCAACATTTCACGGTTTTCAGGCATATTTTTACATATTTTTACACTAGTTTGTTGAAGCTTTCAATTTTTTCTGATTATGGATTCAATCTTGAACTACACATCTTGAAAGTAAATTAACATTATTGAGATCATCGTAAATCGGTTTAAAAGCTTTTAAAACATCAGGAGGTAAGGGAGAATAATTTTGAATATAAGTATCGAGCTCCACTTGCGTCAGCGCGCTGGTAAGAGTCCAATAACTCAAAAAGTAATCATAAAGTAATTTTCAAAAATTCCAAGTACCCCTAACCGCATAATTAAATATTTACATGTAATGTTCACAATGTTTCAATAGAAACCAAAAACTAATTTTAATAATTTATTTATTTATTCTCATAAAACAATTAATATACAATACATGATGATCGTAAATATATTATCTTCATATTTTAAATGATCATTTTACCTAAGGTGAGTATGAATATTCTTGGTCTATATAACAGTATTCAAAACTACAGAATAAACTAGCCATTTAAGTAGAAAAATATAAAAATAAATACATAACAATTTCTTTAACAATTTTTCACAAAGGCGATGAAACACCACTAACAGACCTAACGGCGTCATCAATTGCCCTTGCTACATAAGCAACATTATTAGAATTAATTCCGCACATATTTATTCTACCACTTTTTAATAAATATATGTGATGTTTTTGTATCAGGTGTTCCACTTGCTTCTCATTTAAACCAGTATAAGAGAACATTCCAATTTGTTGTGTAATGTGATCCCATGTTCCCGGCGTTTTTAATTCGGTTAGATGCCTCTTCAACTCCTTTCTCATCAATATAATACGAGATGACATTGTTTTGATACATTCTAGCCACTCATTTCTAAGAGATGGATCATTTAAAACTAAACTAACAATTTGTGATCCATGGTTGGGTGGTGTAGAATACATAGCACGAATTAGAATTGTGAACTGGGATTTCATTGGAGTTAAAACTTCTTCATTGTGCGTGACAATAGTCAAATTACCCACACGCTCATTGTACAATCCAAAGTTTTTCGCATATGATTGTGCACAAAATAATTCAAATCCTTCACTGACGGCATATCTTACAGGCCATGAATCAGCCTCAGGATCACCTGAAGCAAATCCTTGATATGCAGAATCAAAAAATGGGAAAAGTTTGCGCTTCTTGACTACATCTAAAATTTTCTGCCATTGCTCCTTTGTTGGATCACAGCCAGTGGGATTATGAGCACAACAATGCAATATAATTACAGAGTTTTCTGGGGCATTATTTAAGTCTTCTAAGAATCCATCAATGTCTACGTTTTTCTGCACTGGGTCCCAATAACGATATTCTTTTGGTGTTGTAAACCCTGCATTCAAGAATACTTGACGGTGGTTTTCCCAAGTCGGTTTAGAAAAATAAAATGTTGTTCTACCAAGGACTTTGGCTAAAAATTCAGCACCTATTCTCAAAGCGCCGGTTCCAGATAAGGTTTGAATTCCACATACCCTTTTCTGTTCGAATGCGATATTATCTTCACCGAGAAGCAATCTAGTGGAGGCAGAAGTGAAACCATCAGTGCCCAGAACAGGGAGATATTCGTGATTTGTTGTTAGTTCTTTGGCAATTTTAATTTCAGCATCTCTAACAACGGGTAAAACCCACGGCTTTCCTTCTTCGGTTCTGTAGGCTCCAACTCCCAAGTTGCATTTGTCTGGGCAACTATCACTAGCGAATCCTTTATTCAATGCGAAAACTTCAATCGGCGGCGCGACTTTAACATCACTAAAAAGCGACATTGTTTATTTACTTAAAACACGATTTTTACGATGAATGAGTGAGGTTACGTGATTGAGCGTGCACGTACAATGTCACCGGCCGACTGCAGATCGTATACTATTTTTACGACAGAATGCTCTGCTGGAACGTATTTATCGCGTCACTTTCAATTGACCTTGTCTTGTTGCAAAAGCGATAACAATATGTATTACAACTACTTACACTAATAAAAATTAATTATTTGTACGTTGCCATGTAAATATTTTATATAAATATAGGTTAAGGTATGAAAACAAAGTGCATATTAAAACAAGGAATGACTTTTACACACATATACATATCATTGAGATGCACTGTGTCATGTAACAACATGAATATAACTTAACATATCACTTTTTCTTCTACTGAACGTATATTGATGTCATAATTTTGACAGCTTACGTTTGGCTTGGCATACGTTTGACATATGGCATATGTTTTTTGTGGCATATGTCACGTTCGGCAACATAGAAATTAATTGCATACCGTGTTGCCATGGTGACAAAATATCAAACGGTAACAAGCATTTCTGAATGATTTATATGTGATGAAAACGGATGACATTATTTTATCATTTATTTATCTATGATCATTTACATGATTTGCAACTTTAATGTGATTTAGTTCCAATCATAGATAAGGATGGTTTCAAACATAAATAAGTCATAAGTAAAAAATATTCGCCTGACTTTAACACTACATTTTAACAAAATTATTGAACCAATTCTACAGTAAAATAGACCGATGCTAAAGCAGGGCTATGTTACGTAGCGTTTTTCATAAGTTGTACTAAATACTGTCAAAATGCTAAGTTGTTGCTATGCAGTCAGGCGTTTTAGATAGAAAACTTAACCTAAAAAACGCATAAACATCAAAAAAGAATCTTGTAAGTGCATCTTTTGAGATGTGTTGTAATAGCATATGAGTGTAGTTTCATTTTATGTGTGAAACGCCTGATTGTACAGCAAATGAGTAGCATTTTGACAGTTTTAGTACCATTTTATATGAAGGAAGGAGCGTTCATAGCGTTATTAAGGCAAGGGACTATTTTACCGGAGAATTGGCCCCTGGAATACTAGCAGAAAAAATCTTATATATATATATATATATATATATATATATTTAGGTTTGTAAATTAATATAAGACATTAAACTTTCGTAACTGTTGTGATCACGAAATCCCGGGTTAAAATCCGCATTTCAAATAGATTGATATCAAGCAGTAGTTATAAAATATATTTTCAAGTAAAACAAATTGAATGGTGTAGGATATGAAAAAAAACAATGTATATTACAAGACGTCCGTTAATCACGTGAGGCTTTTAGAAGGAGGGAAAATTTCACAAAAAAAATCAAATGGGAGAGGGAGATAGATAAGATGACTTTATATTACTAATAAAAAAAAACTGAAGTTTATATAATACCTAATCTCTTAAATAAATGATTATTGTATGATAAATTTATATATAAATTTAATAAGTTGATAACTTCCTATTGAAAAGTCTGGTTATTGCAAGTATTGAAATCTATCTAAATCTAGTAGTAACCCAGTAAACCACAAAACGTAATGAAAACGTTAATAGAACGTAACAGATTATACGTAAAACATAACGGTTACGTAACCTAAGAGGCACACAGACGTATCTATTTCCGCCTCAAAAACGTAACGGCCTGTTTAGTTACGCGAAAACATAACGGTTTCGTTTATGTAACGTTTCCAAATTGCGCGAAAACGTAACGGTTTCGTTTTTGTTAGGTTTCTAAATTACTAAATTAACGTGTAGGTGTCTTTGATGTAACTTAAAAATTTAATAAAATTTCCTGTAAATATAGAAACCATTTTTTATATTAATTTTATTTCATATTATAATTAAGAATTTACAAAATTTACATAACATATACTTAAAATTACAAAACTACAGAATATAAATTTGGATTTTAAAAATTTGATTAATCTAAAACAAAAAATAACAATTCTAACAAATTTCTATTTAACAGGATGGAATTAAATGTTTTATTTTGATTATAAAATTTTAACCATTGAAAATAAGTCTTGTGTAAAATTCTTGGCAACCTTTGTTTATCAAATTGAAACCATTTCACTGCTTTCTGTTTGTAAATGTATCTAAAACATAACCAAACAGGTTAGAAACAATTTCTACAAATTGTTTATTGATAATATTGATTTAAATTTTTTGTAACATTACCTCTAAAAATATTCATTATTTTCAAGTTATTGACAGCTAGGCAGTCCTTTCAACAATACCAAAAACATATTAATTCTTCATCGAATTACACTTTAGACAATAAAGAAGATTTTAGTCTCTGAATTTTTAAATATATTTTTGCTGAAGTAAAAACAATAGAAGGTTATGATTTGGAAATATTGTGATTATTATTATAAATTGTAACAATACTTCTAATTACCTCTATTTACTTTCATTATTTATTAAGAACAAAGTGCAGCTAATTCCTTTATGAACGTATTGCTCAAATATTGTCTTAATTGTTTCTTGTCAGTTCAGCCAAATTTCATCCACCGACTTTTAAATCATATTTTTGCTAAAACTAAATCATAAAAAATTAATACTAAATCATCTAATCATCTCTAACTATCATAATGGGGTATACCAATTCCATGACACATGACACGAGTGTCATCATTTAATGCTGTAAAAAATGTTATTCTTCTTCAAATCATTTTTCGTGATGATGGTGGATTATTATTTTATATTCTAACTTTGCATTCATATTCTTTATTTGAGCAAATATCTTTATTATGTTCTGAGTCATTATATTTCTTCAATTGAAAACCATTGTATTAGTTTTTATTCCTGTTTAGCCGAACTATATTATTGTTACTGAAGGGGCTACAAATATTAAATTTGTATTTGTATATCTCATTTTTACTAACCTTTTGACTCAACATTGCAATAATCATTGAGGTTATGATTTTTTTGTAGAATTTAATTATTATTTGATAAACATACATTTGATGAAAACATCTACAAATAACAAAATACGCGAATAGAATTTCCATTAAGGTCCAACTATATACTGAAAAAAAAAATCATTATTATAATAATATATAAATTAAAATAATTTACACATGTTTTATATTTATACTTACCTTGATCGATTCCATTTTAAACATTTTAACTGCACACTGCATAACTAATACGTTCTACATTAATCATATAAAATATTAATCATATAAATAATGATTAAATAAATGCTTCAAAAGAATGAAATAATTTGCTTGTCAAAAGATCTTCAATATGAAGCGTCCATTAGAGCCATTAGTCATAGACAGAAAAGTAAAATATATAGAGTCACGAATAACTTTCAATTGTATTTTCGTGCATAGAGTCTCGCATACATAAAAGAGTAGAACACGTAACCTATCTTTTTGACAGTTTTGTGAAACAGCTGTACCACACCGTCCATTTTGTATGTTAAACTTACAAAACACTGTAACTGAACGGTTACGTTATGAAGAAAACCATGCATTAACGTTTAAAGGTTACAATTAAACGTAACATTTACGTTTTATTAACGTAACCATAAAATACATAACAACGTTTCTTCTATGCTACGTTACTTTAACTTTATGTTACGTTTGTGGTTTACTGGGTAAATATAGTCAAGCTAAAAACAATTTTCATATAATTATGAATCATATAATTATGAATTATCAAAATCACTGATAATCGTGGGTTTTTTATTGCTGGCATTGATTGATGACAATAATGATTTTAATTGCGTATCACGCGAAAGTGTAATTCAACTGTTGAGTCCTCTACAAAAAAAATTTGCATCTAGAAATATATAAAATTTTTCAAAGACACAATGAATCAAAATTAAATATGCGAAAATGATGTTGGCAATTAATAGAAACGACTTCGATTATTATTAGGTTCATTTAATTCTGAACCAAGAATCGTTGGAGCATTGGATTTTAATGCGAATGACCAGTACTATAATTACTTTATATATTAAGTTTGAAAACATATTATTAAATGAAATTACGTAAATTGTTTTTGTAAAAAATAATCTTGGAATATTAATTTTTGCACGAAGAAGGTTAGAATCTAGCAAATTCTCATTGAGTGATATAATGCTTGTTATTTATCAGTCGCATGAGACAAACTTTATGTAAAATGACCTACAATAATAAAAATCATTAATTTGTGATAAACGACGATAATTTCAATATAAAAATAAGATTTAAATTACCTAATTTCCTGCTTGCATATAACTAAAACTCTTCAATTAACGAAATATTAGACTAATTAATTAATTAACTATAGGGATTTGCTTCTCACACTATACCCCTTATTATTTATGAAGATAAAATTGAACGCCAGATTGCATATACAAGCAATTTAATTTAATTAAATTTAAGTTATTGAAGTAAAAAATATATTACACATATTATATGTAAAATCTTTATTTGCAAAGATAATGTATGCGGTATACCAATTCGGTTTAACTGATTTTCATTATGTTAATTATTAGAATTAAATCTAATTATTTCAATTATTACAATCTATTTTTTTTACAGGCGAGGCCAGTCGACTATGCTCCCGAATATTTAAAAAGTTCGCAGCAAATATCGTTTCACAAGCACTGGATGATAGATCCTTTGAAAGTCTACGAGCAGTGGTTCCAAAACGCTGATTTGCAAATGATCAAAGAGGACAGGACGCATATTGAATTATAGCGCGAACTGTGAATATGTGATTAATTGATTTGTTATATAGTTAAATAATTATATAGAAAGATATATTTTTATAATACAGATACTGCAAATATTCCAATTAATATTAATCATGCTGTTTGAATACGGAAAGTCACGGCTAAGTAGTAATATATTAAAAATTAACTAAGTTTAGGCTATAAGTAAAGTAGGTATTTTTATCAAATAATTTTCAAAGAAAAAAATCATATAAATACGCATATCACTTAGACTTTCTTAAATTTTATCGCCATACGATTTTCACTATGAGCATAACTCATAATTATTACCAGCAGGTTTTAGTTCTAATTACTACATCATAATACAATAGAAATAATTTGAAAGTATGAAATAAATTCATAATATTTTCTCTAGTATAATATCGACAAAAGTCACTAGAGGTTAGTAAATTTTGAAAATTTGTCGACCCTCAAAATTCGTCATCATTCGTCCCAAAATTCGTCATTTATAATTTTCTGTTGGACTCATCATGCTGAAATTTAACGAACTACGAATAATATATGATACATTTTTTCTGTTTCACAAAATTATTACAAAAACCATTGAACATTAAATAGCAATCCTGTGTGTAAAAAATTGGAACTTTTTGTTCACTAGGATAACATATTTCGAATGATCATAAGTGTCGAATAGATGTAGAAAAAGATATTATGAGTTAGTACTCATAATTTTAATGACAACGTGAAATTCATAACTCACATATTTAGTACTCATACATATTTTAAAATAACTAAGAAAATTCATTTGATATAAGAGAAAAAATATTTAAGCCGTTTATCACATAAAAAATTTAGAACCGTTAAATTCGATATCACAAATCACAATTAAATTATTTTATCAATTACAAATGGGAAAATCTAATCTTTGCCATTCAACAATATAGTTCAATAATATGACAAGTTCAATTATCAAACGTTGTTCAATATGACACGGAATTAAATAATCCCCATAAATTCGCGATGTGAATATCCGAAATAATACAACTTTTAAATATTCAAGTGATTTCATCACCCAAATTTTGATTTCAATATAATCCATATCATTGCATCAGAAACAATAGATATGTATAGATTACAGATATTAATTAGATTTGTGGTATGTTGTGTCAAGTACTTGTTAGTATCAAGTTCGTATGTCTACATGTTACTTTGTCTAGTAATATGTTGTGTCAAGTACTTCTTGCTTTGATATTTGCCAATCAATTCGATAAGTGAACAATGGCAGTATCTTGCATATAATATTTGACTCGCAAACATAATCCAATTTGTGGGATAAATGTATTTTTTATTAATCGAAAAGAAAAACAATAATTGAAGAGGAAATCCATAGATAAAATGAGGAAATCTAAAAGCCATTTAATAGTTCCATTTGGAATCAAATAGTTCTATTGCGTACTTGGGAGCCAGTCATAGACCTTGGGGGGAAGTCCCAAGGGTTGTTTATAAATAAATCAAAAAATATTTTATGAAATGTTTATTAAATTATGACTTAGGTTAGATAACAAATTTAGAAATCAAACCATATTAACAAATACGCAACCTTTGCTAAAAATAATTGATACCATCAATCAAACTTTGATGACCAAAAATTTGATTTTAAAAGTGGCACCTAGTACCGGACATTTCAAAATAACCTGCATTGAACACATATGTAGCCATCGGCACACTCATCAATGTCTGCATATGTGTGTTTGACGAATATTCCTAAATATTGCAAGAAAAAGTCACTATTTATCCACCCTTTTGGCTGGGACACACCAATGCTCTCAGCTGGAGCATTCATCATAAGATTTTCATTCCTTGACTAGGAAATACAACAAATGGGGTTATGTTGTGACTGTTAGCACCCATGCAGAACAAAATTGAATAATTGGAATAAATTACGTAAATTCTCACAAGAAATACCAATATGTTTACTCTCTGGCACTAAGGGACGACTTAGTATCCGGTGCTAAGGGACAGACATTTTCGTTCATTTGATGGTACCTACTAAAATTGTTTCAAAGATCTAATAATATTCTACGATTTTACGGATAACAATCAAGTATTACTTTTATCTATGAATACAACTCAAATTTAAATGCATAAATATACGAAAATTACTTCCATTGATATTTAGGTGACGCCGTGATTTTTCGCCTAAAACAGCAAACGATTGCTCCTACTGTGGCCGTGTGCGTCACAGGTGAGCCTTGACGCGTGATCTTGCACCTGTGTGCCCCCCGCGCCCCTTTAACTTGTATTTTGAAATATACTCGCTTGAATAATTCGTGTTAAATAGAATGTCCGGCGCTAAGTGCCGTCCGGTTTTACGGGACTTACCCTCATAACACATTGTAAGGTCTAAGGAGCCAATTCTTTGATAAACTGGACCGTAACATAGTGTTGTTACAACAACTCTATAATACAGTCTAATTTATAGGAGGCAAAGGCATTAAACTGTTGACTTCATAAAAAATATCTATATCGAGCGGTTTTCTATACTTAATAATTGGCTTAATTGATCGGTTTGTTCGATAGGCATTTTAAAATTAAAAAAAAAAAAACAATTTTATTAAGTATTTTTTCCGTCACGGGTTTTGTTTCTTCTCTCACATAAGTTAAGTGGAGTTTAATTTGTTTACTAGGCAACTTTTTAATCTTTATAGGCTCTTTTTTCCGACTTTATAGTTCAGATACGGAATTAGAATTGTACTAAAAATTATTGTAAAAAATTATTGAAAATCAAAGTTATCATTGCAAAGATTTGGTATTTTTGTCACTAATAATTTATATTAATCGCTTGGTATCATTAATTGAATCACGAAAACATATTTGCGGTAATGTTTTAGTTTTGTCAAATACTTCAATGCATTTTTTTCAAACTATTGAAAGTTGTGCTTCCATGATTTAACTATAGTTGCAAAAATTATGTTATTCCAGGATTAAAATATATTTCAAGCAAACAGAACATTTGAATTACCGCCATACATTTTAGTTTAGGAGTCGCACACAGATGATTCTACGATATAATTCAATTTTGACATTTAAGATTTTCTCTACAATTTGATGTATATAAATATAAATACATATAACCTTCTATTTTGAAGTCTAAATCCCGCACACACAACCCATACACACATTCGTACGATATCATTCATAAAAAACATAGTACAAAGTTCTTAAATAAATGTAAATACATACGTCCAGAGGCAAACATAAATAAAAACATGCTTATTCACGGTGCACTTGGCATAATTCATAATATTTTATCTGAGATAAAAAATCTGGATTTTCGATTAAAGTCTATAAGACTGGATAATTTAGTTGAGCAGAGTTCAGTAGTGTCATGCGTTGCGGGAATAAAAGACTGTTAAATGTCTTAAGAAATTTTAAAAGAGAAAGTAACGCAGTGAAAAGTTTTACGAATTGTAAGAATAGAGAACAAAAGTTGTTTAGGTGAGTCTTTTTTGTAAATATTAAGTATTGTAAATAAAAATAGTGCGTATTAGATTAGTTTGAGTGTATATTCGTTAAGTTCAAGTGGTTTAAATTTAATTCAAATTGTATTAATAAATCGACAAAGACATATGTAGAGTCGTGTTTCAGTGGAATTAGTAGTCGCAAAAATGATTTTGTGAAATAATCTACAATTGATATTAGTCCTACATTTATTAAAATTAATTATTATATTATATTATATTATATTATATTATATTATATTATATGTGATAATTTTGCAAATTTAAAATAATATTCGACTGAATCATTATATTATTAAAATATGTTCTCTACTTATAGTGCATGTTCAATAGTATATCCAACTATAAGTACACAAGATTATACATGAAAATATTATATTAAGTGTATGTGTATTTACAAAATCTCTAATCTTAATGACTTGTTATATTGCTTATAAAATTCATTCAATGTTTATTGAACGTTTGAGAAAAATTTAAACAATATCGTTTTATGAATCGAATAAAAAAGAAGAACAAAGTGCTCGTTTTTTGTTAACTTACATCTGAATTTCAAAAAAAAAATCAAACCATATCGTTTTATGAAACGAATGAAAAATTCAATTCGAATTAGGTATATTAGGACAAAGTTCTCGGTTTTAGATTCAAGCTTACAATATTCAATGGTTAAATTTAAATATTTAAATGCTAGTAATGATGATTACACATAAAATTCACTTTGCGATTTAAAATATTCTTGATTGTTCAAAAACTTTCTAGTGAAGTCATAGTATTGAATAAAGCTTAAAACATAATTTAATATAAACCAATTGGTTAGTGTCTATTTTGTATGTCCCTTTACGGCTGACAATTGTAAATTCCCAAAATTTACTAAATGCCTCTGGATAGTTATAAAAAATATAGAGAATACAGAATAAGTGTCTAAGAAATCATGTTTTTATATTTTTAACATATTTTTTTATTAGAAACTAGACGACCCGACAGACGTTGTCTTGTACTTATGTTTACAATTCAAAAGTTCCAATTTTTTTTAATAACCAAATCTGATATTTACCAATTAGTGAAACATTATTATGTTATTGTTATGTTTTTTTACACTACACTCTATACTGAAATGTATATACATCCACCCATATGGATCTTAAATGTACAACTGCTTTAAATAATATAATGATTATTTGCTTTTTTGAAAAACATTATAAAACATTTTTTTCTTAATTAGTTCTTTTATCAATATTTTTGAAAAAAATGAAAATACACCACTGAGAGGGATTTCATCCCCCCAAGAAATGGCAAAGGAGTCTAAATTATGTTCACTTTGGAACTTGGGAGTATAAAACTAATTTCAAAATTTCATACGAATTGGAGCACAGTAAAAAAAATTTAAACCCAAAACGCTCCATTGATTTGAGTAAATATTCCGTATCCGATGGCAAAAATATGAAAATACTAACGTTTGTATATGAAAAAGAAAAGGGCTGTTTTTAGGGTTTTCCCGGCAATTATTCGATTTTTTCTCGCCTTAAGAACCTTGGACTTCAACGAACATTTTAAAAAAAGAATTGGCCAAATTGGTCCAGGCGTTGTTAAGTTATGCGCTTACCAATACATTCTGCGATTCTTCATGAGTTTATGGTCTAATTTGTAATATTGTTTATAGTACGTAATACTTATGAAATACTTGTCGAAGAAAACATTGCTAAAAATTATCATGTATTGCCAAATACTGTTTATTTGTCATTCAAAATATTTCTGTGAACATTTCTTGATTACACTTTCCAGTTAGAATTTGTATAGTTGTTTTTTAAATTCTAAAAGAATGAATCAGACAACATGCTTGAAGCCATAAGACACATTGGTTAAAATCAGTATCATTGACGATATTAAATTAGACTCTATTGGTATAGTCAGTTTATTATTATTAAAGAAAATATGTCATAAAATAAAATTATGAATTTTATTTTCACATCTACGCGTATTTGAATAAATTACCCTAAATGGGGTAAAAATGAAACTTTTGGGAGTAAAAAGTATGCATTTTTAATTGATATATTCATTGTATTTGCTATATAATTGTTGATATTGGGGCTAATCTATTTTCGCGATGGGTTTAATTTCAACTTAGACAAAAAAATTGGTGAATGATTAAAAAAGTTCCCCGATCGCTGGTCTATATATTATATACTTCCTCATCATAATTCAAATATTCAAAAGTCACATTGAGATTTAAAATACATTGAAATTTTACACAACAATTTCATACAAATACGGAAATACCCTTCACAATTGAAATGAAAAACGTGAATGGAACAATTGCAAAATCTATCTAATATTATTAAATATCAAAGTATATTTATCCAAATACATATACAAATACTTTTAATAAATTTGTTGCTTAATACGTGAATGTCCAAGAGATATTGCATAAAAATGTCATAACTTTAACACTTTCTATTCGGATTCAAACTTTGTTTTTAAATTTCACATCAATGTATAAGTATATATATTTTTTTATACAATCCTTGCATAAAGAAGGACTGATCTTCAAATTTAAATTGATAAACGCTTTTATTAGTGAATAAGTTCAATTCACATTATTGTTGTTTTTTCATATTTTTATTTTTATCTCTGTAATAAGCATACGCATATTTCACGCATTATGCATCCCTTTGCAAAATTCCATAAAATGTTTGAATATTTTATGAATATTATATATTTCGTGTAGGTAGAGAGACGAATATAACTGTATTTGCTTCAACGAACAGGATATTCCAATTCCAAATCTAATTCAAAATAAGCTCAGAATAACTACTCTATTCCTGATTCGGTTTTCTAAATGCCATAGTATTAAAATATCACCATGTTCCTTCAAACCCAATTTCATACAATACAATATAAAAAATATTTTGTACATGTAAGATTTAGTTAGCTTTGCAAGTAAACAAGCTATAAATCATCTATAAACTATGTTATAAGTTATAATTATGTGTTCATAAATATATACATAATAAAATGAAATATGTACATAGTATCATGAATAATTATCATATGTAATAGAATTCAGGTATAAATGTTACGGCTGTGTATCTTAGCTTACAGTAGTATACAATAAATTAAAAATGAAAGTGAAAAAAGATGTGAACTTGATTCATGTGGTTTAAAAGATACTGAAATTCCCTAATATTTGTTCTAAAAATATATATTTATAATACTTTCATATGCAATTTGATTCAAAATTTTATATAAAAAATTAATTTAATAAATTCAATAATAAACTTCATAAATCGAGGATCATAATTACAATTGGAGAATTTGGTTTATCAATGTTTTGATAATTAAAAAGCTTTTTGAAGTCAATAATATGTTATCAAATATATTATCTACAATAAACTTCGGAACAATGTAAATATAAATAATAAAATGTAATGGCAAAAATTGCGATTCATAACATGATAAAACCTTTACAGTAAAATATACATACATATATATATGATAAAGTTGTTCTTGGGCATCCATCCAGTAATTAAAAACAGTTTTATTGAAGGAAAATGTTTTCATTATGAAAACATACGTTCCGGGTCTTGATTTGACCCATCTTCAGTGCATACAAATAAATTGAAAAAAAAAACAAAAACACACGAAAATTGCACAAATTGATAAACGTCGAGTTATGTGACAAATTTTAAATAATTGTAAAATTAAAATGAAAATAAATAATACATTTTTTATAAAAAAGCTTTTTCCAAACGAGGCATGTTGTCCGTTTGGAGTTTGAGTAACAAGTCAACTTGTCGTGACTTGTTGTTGCAAGTTTCGAGTGTTTTTGTGTTTTTTTTTCCAATTTATTTGTATGCACTGAAGATGGGTCAAATCAAGACTCGAAACGTATGTTTTCATAATAAAAATATTTTCCTCCAATGAAACTGTTTTTAATTACTGGATGGAGGCCCATGAACAACTTTATCATATTATTTCACCATTTAAAGAAAAACCTATAATAAAATATAATATAAAATATTGTATAAATATATAATTAAAACTATAACAGTGTTCAAGTTCGGTTTTAGCTTTCTTTCCTGACATTACTAATTACTGCTAACGTAAGCACTTTTAAAAACATTATTTGAATGATTAGTTAATTTTATGTAAATTTTGATCAGATATAAATTTTATAGAAGAAAATATAAGATAAGATTTCACATATGGGGGTGTGACAAAAATTTAAGAAATCTAAGGAATTTAACTTTCCTGAATACTTTGAAATTCACACACATTGGATAATTTTGTAGAGCTTTGATTATACTTATATGTATACAAATTCATATCTAATAAGTCTGTTTATAAATACACTCATATGATAAAAATTCTTTATATATCAGTATTCAGTATGATATTATTATTCACAATGTAAATAATAATAAAATCTTGTTAAGGCATTTGCATATTTGAATAAATTATTACATTAAAATATATATATGGATGTTTTCATTTCAATTAAATAAATCACAAATTATATTAGTGTTCACATACTATTAACAAAACTATATATAAATGGCGAAATATTTAATTATTAACTAAAATGTAGAAGTGAGATAAAGAAGTATTTCTAAAGTTGTGTATAGTTTTACAAGAATTATAAAACGATTTATGATGCCGAAAAATAAATCTCAATGGTATATTTTTCTGCATTATGTGATCTACTTATATAATATTTTTTGAGTTCTTGAAATTGGTCACAATTGCAAGAATGAATTTTTATCGTTAACTAAGCATAAACGTTTTGACCCATTCATGATTAAAGTTAATCAATGCGAATAGTAAATTTGCTCCAAAGCCACGTGCACAAAATACAAGAATAAAATAAAACCAACTGCTGCATTAGCTAAAAAGCTCCAAAAGTTACCTCATTCATGATCTTGCAATATTGATCTTATCAAAATTATTTTACTTTTAGCACAATGGTACATAACAACAATTACAAAATGGACCAGTCAATAATACACGAAAAAGAAATATATCCAGATTTTGTGAAAGGACCTTTGACGGAGTATAGAAATCACTGTACCTTTGATTGGCGTTTGATGAACCTCAGCTTATATGGCGAAGAATGTGTCAGATTTAAGGTAATATTAATAGAACATCCTAAATATTAAAAACATCAAGATCAAAAAACACTACAAGAACATTAAATTGATCAAAATAATTGTTTGGTGAATAAATCATGCAGTATTTGTTGAAATTGTTTTTTTTTTGTCAATATTGATTTTTCTACATTTTTTTTATTTACTTCCATTAATTTTTTGTATCATGTTTAAATTTTTATTCGGCTACTTACCATATTATAAGTGAAGTTGCAAAGAATAATAGTCTCGTTCAATATCATAATTATGGATTTAATTCATTTCAATAGTCTTAAATAGAGCAATATTATCAGTTAAATAATAATTACATTTTATGTTTTCAGAAAACAATGTCAGATTATATGCAAAATGAAAATATCTTCCAGCATGTTAACAAAGAGTTAACTTTAGATGAATATAGAAATTTAACAATAAAACGAATGTACACACTCAAGGGTCGAGATATTCTACCAATTTACAAGGTATCAATTGCATATAAATAAAAATAATCTTTTAGAATATGGAATCAATTAATTTATTTATTTATTAGGTGCTAGAAACTCCAGAACTATATCCAATATTCAGAGGCCTATTATTCTTTTATGACCCATCATTGTGCATTAAATTTTCATTGACTTTTGGAATGGTTCCAAATGTTGTCAGGAGCTTAGGAAGCGAAAGATTGAGTGCGTACGCCTTACAATTATATGAAGGAGAGGTAATAATTAAATTTATTTTTGTGATTGAAATTTTTTATATCGCATAGAACAATACAATATGACAAATGACCCCAGATATATATATTTCTGATCAACTTACGTTGATTAATTAGCGGCCTCTAAATTCATAGATGAGATATTTTTTTAATAATCGGACAGATTTTTTTCTGGATAGTTTCGTTTCATAATAATTAAATTTTCTAACAATTTTATAGAATAGAAAGATATCGCTTGGAATGTAATGTATTGCAGTAGATGGCTAAATGCTCAAAGTTAGCAAAGCCATTAAATAAAAAAAAACTAGCTGTAAGTGGAATTCTGTCTTGAGGCAATTATGGCATCGTGCCTTAAGGCAAATTGCTGGAACTTCCCGTTGAATACTAAATGTTTTCAAATAGATTATTATAAATATTGTATCATTGTCTAATATAAAATAATAAAATAAAATCTGAAATATTTTCAGTATACAAAAAACTAAAAAAAAAAAAAAAAATAAATAAAAAAAAAAAAAAAATGAAACAAATTTTTTTTTCAAAATAAATTATTTTGTTAAGACAAACAGAAAGTTCTTTGAATCATTTAAATCGGACGCTTAGTTCTCTCAAAAACTGCCATTTTTTACATATTTAGCTCCGTATCTTCGAAATGGCTGGGCCCGCCTTTGCCAAAAACTAATAAACACTTCTCCCAATCATTACTAATTGAATGTTTTTTAGATCATTCAAATCGGATACTCCGTTCTCTCAAAAATTCGATTTCTATTTTCTGCACTCTTTGCTCCGTATCTCCGAAACGGCTGGACCTGCCTTTGTCAAAAACTAATCAGCTCTTTTCCTTATCAATAGGAATCGAATGTTTTTTGAACCATTTAAATCGGTTGATCCGTGCGCCCTAAAACGTGACTGGAAATTTGTATCCACACATACATACACACACACACACACACACACATCTATTTTTTCTTAAGTATGCCAAAACGTTCAGAAACCTTCAAAACGTCGAGAAATGTAAAAATTTTCAATTCCGATTTTCGGCCCATTACAATAACTTACCCTACGGGAAGTATTTTTTTAATATATTTATATATATATATATATATATATATATATATATATATATATATATATATACATTATTTTCATATCTCAGACAGACAGAAGTGCCTGGTATGAGAGATTATGAAAACAGTTTTCATATTTTATAAATACATTTCATTTGACTTTTTCTTTAATATAATATCTATTATAATTAAATTATCTTTATATAACTCTTCAGTCTTCTTCGTCTTCAACTTCCTCATAATATTTCTTTATTTTTCTTTTAAATTTGTCGTCATCATTGATCATCTTAATATCGTTTGGCAATTCATTATTTTTTTCAGTATTTGTTTTCCATTATACAATTTTTATCAAATTATCGTATGATATACATATTTATTATATGTAATATCATAAATAGTCAGAATAATTCATTATCCCATGAAGCTTTGATCTGATTTTGGGAAGGTTTCTCCATGCCTCTCTCATTACAATGATTGAAAATTTTTGCGACGAATGAAAGTGTTGTACATCTAATTAACTAAACTAATCTAATCCAGTTTTTAGTCGCAATAATTATATTTTTTTCAATTTTTTTTCTAGTATGCAGGTTGTTTTGCTTTAACAGAAATATCCCATGGAACAAATACAAAGGGAATGCGATGCGAAGCACACTACGATCCTGATTCGAAACAGTTTGTCTTACATACACCAGATTTTGAAGCTGCCAAGTGCTGGTCTGGCAATTTAGGTAAACCTTTTAATGTAATCAAGTATCAGATAAATAAGAATTCTTTATCAAAAAGAGCGTCTGTTTTTGTTGCTTTAAAATCAAGGTAGTAGATAATGTATGTATGATAACGATAATGATAACGATAAATGTTAGTTCAAATATTGTGATCTGGAGAAATCTCAAATAGGTCGGCATATATGTCTCTCAATGTTTGATAATTTTATTTTCTTAAAAGTGCGAAAATGAGTCGGCAACATAAGATACAGCTAACAAAGCAGAATGAGTAACGATCTTTTTACATTTTTTTTAATTGCAGTCTGTCTTAGGACATTCAGTACTTGTTTTGACTTAATTATATGGTTTTTTGAATGGGTGGCAACTCAGTAGTTGTCCAATCCAATTATTAACTATACTCGAAGTATTTGCTCACAATTTTTATTATAAATATGCAACTACACCCACGAGGGACGATTTTCACTTGAGGCTGTATTTGAGATCTATAACCTCAAGTGGAAATTTGACATCAAAGTTGTCTGATGTCGGACTATGGCGGTAGCGGGAATCGAACCAGCGAACCCAAGACTAGTTGGCGCTAGCCCATGAGTAACGATAAAAAAACATTTTTTATAAAATTCAGTAAATAAATCAAAATGTTTTTTTTTTACTTTTGAAGGAAAGTCGTCAACGCACGCTATAGTGTATGCAAAGCTTTTCACTGAAGGCAAAAATCACGGCTTGCATCCATTCCTGGTGCCTGTTCGCGATCCCAAGACATTACTGCCTTTTGCTGGTGTAATAGTCGGTGATATGGGAGAGAAAATTGGCCTACAAGGTATTGATAATGGGTAAGTTATAAAGCACTCTCATTCCTTTTGGTAAACTATAAATCACATCGAGAATAAAATTGATAAAAGCGCAATGACTGCTAACTTTATACCTTACATACAAGTTACTGCATACACTTTCAATAAAATGAAAAGCATATAAAATACCAACACCTAAATAATGGCCGTTTCAGTTTCAGTAATTTCTGAAGTTTCAGTAATTTATGATATTTATTAGCAAAACAGATTTTTTTTAATAGATAGCCATTACAAATAAACGCAAGATTAAATGAAACACTGAAATTGCATCCCTGCAGTGAAATTAAAAGTATGTTAAGCCATCTACGTATGATAAAAAATAAGTGAAGATATGTGGATAAAAATCGCTGGCAACAATGTTCGGTATGGTTTGTTTTGATCGAAGTTTGGCAGCTTACGATTTGTGATTTATTATCATCAAGTGAAATTGTGAAAACGTTTCAGTGAGAAGTAACTTAAAGCTCAAGCAACTACCACGATTTCACCTACTACTACTGTAACAAGATGTAATTTTATAATATCTTCTATTTTCAGATTTTTGTTATTTGATAAATATCGCATTCCAAAGGAAAATCTGCTCTCAAAAACTGGCGACGTCCAAGACGATGGCAATTATACGACACCTTATAAAGATCCTTCAAAGAAAATTGGTGCAAGTTTCGGGGCTCTAAGTGGAGGCAGGGTCAATATCGCAGGTAATAATAGTACTAAGTACTAAATTAAAATAATATAGACTATTTATGGAAGACCACAATTTTCGTTTCAAAGCTTGTCATATATATATAGGCCGATTTTCGGACAAAATAGAAATGTTTTGGTAATGCTATGTACGGGTCTATCTTCGTATGAGTTGGTAGTAGTCTCAAACTGTTTTTGCTGCGCGATCAGACGTTTTACTCATGAAATCTAACTTCACGTTAGGAAAAGACATCAGAAAGTTGCACTTATGATAAAATTGTAGTTATTTGGCATTTGCGCGTTGTGTATGTTAGGTTTTATGTGTAAAACGCCTGATAGCACAGCTAATACATAGCCCTATCGCAATTCCTTTCTACCAACCCATACAAAGATAGACCCGTAACATAGCATTACCATAATATTTCTATTTTATCGTAATAATAAAATTAATTCTAGAATTTGCCAGATAGTAGCTTTATATAAAATCAAGTATGAACAAGAAAAGAACTTATTGATCAAACAAGTTTTCTAAAGTTAAAAAATAATAATTTTAATAGATAAACCAATTCTACCAGGCTCTTTAGTTTTATTTATGATATATAGATATTGGTCTACTGGTATATAGATTTAGTCTACATACTTTTTGTATTTTAGGTATCTGCAGTAGTTATTTATCAAAAGCAATAATAATAGCCATAAGGTATTCGGCTGTAAGAAAGCAATTTGGTCCATCAGAAGATAGTGAATATCCAGTCATAGAATACCAACATCAGGTAAAATTGCCTTTTTCATTAACACGTTATTCAGGTATCATAAAAATTATCACGTGGGCCATGGTAATTTAATTCGACATATATATAGTAACAATTATTGCATATACAATATATTTACAGCGTGAGTTTAATTTAATTCGATAACTTGGTTAAAAATTAATCAAGCGAACTTAATGCAACCAAGGAAGAAAATTTTTTAACGAAATTTCTAGAAAAACACGATTTTCATGATTGATATGGTCTCATATTAAAACTTTTTTCTCCTTCCAAATCGCGTATGCTTGGTATATATGTCTGACATGGCCCATGTAGAACTTTTAGCGTCAGACACGTATAACTGACATGACGATTAACGTGCTAATGTGAATATACACTTTAACTGCATATATATTTAATGTATGTACTTATAAAGCAATATATCACATTGCAAATTACTTAGATTAGATTTTAATATAGTTTATTGGCCCAGCGAATTAAATCGCCGGGCTCACAAAAAATTGAGTTACATACTCATTTGAGTGCTCCCCTCCACGGAAATCTTTAGTAAAAGGCGAAAGATTTATTCGCTCTGAAGGGAAACCAGAGTGACGAGCCGACAAAACAGTTTTATTTTATGCTCACCTGTGTGCAACAGTGCGGCGTGTGTTGCGCTGCCCAGAATACGGAGGAGCACGCTAGTGCCATCTATTAATGATTTCTCGAAAATTTTAATGTACGTTAATTATAATTGTTCCTTTTTCAGCAAAATAGGCTCTTTCCTTATTTGGCGTCAACATATGTTCTGATTATTGTTACTGATTGGTTTTGCGCATTCCATATGAAATATAGCAATGGGATTTTATCGAATGAAGATAAAAAATTATCTAAGCAAGAACTGGATAACAAAAGAGCCGCAGTGGGTAAATGAGCTTTTTTCAACTTTATATATTTATTTTTTAACCAACATATGAACTAAAATCGATCAACTTTCAAATTATATGAGTAAATTAATTAATTATAATTATTGTTATTAATTTAATTATCGATTATTATTGCATTCTTCAGAAATTGTCTGATTTTATAAAAATGCACATTATCCAAAAAATAGATTTGAACCATATTATTCATTTTAAAAAAATATTAAAAAGCTCTTATTCAATAGTTAATAATACTTAACGGAATAATTAAAGAAATTGTTGATTCATATAGATAAACATTTCTTTGGTTTTAGGATAGTGAAATTTATTTATGTAATTCTAGTATGTCTTTATACAATCCTCAATACGACGAGGATAATAATAATTAATAATAATAGTAAATAGTAGTCTGCCCGAAGGCAGGTCCATGGTGTGAGAGCCACCACAAATAAATGAATCCCTTACCCTTCGAGATTATATGACGAGGGTATGCATATTTTTTTAAATACATTAAATATTTTTATTTTCGGTTAACTTAATTAATTTAATAAAATTGTTTACTTTTTTTAGTTATGTACTTCGTACATAAGTTTTGCAAAAATTAAGTAAATTAAAGTAAAACTGCTCTTCTCAGAATTTTATTCTACAGTGAGAATACTCAATACTTAGACAATGTTTCTACTTAAGATTTCAATTTACTGATAAATACTGCAAATAATTGCAGAGAGCTCTATAAAATTGAATGAAAAAAGTTTTTAACATTATGCGTTGCAAATATTCTACAAGCATTTTTAAATCTTGTAAATTCTGAAACTTTGTAATATTCTGGCGCAATTCTAAGAAAGTAAAAATCGTTGTTCTATGTAGACTTATATTGTACATTTTTAATCAGTTGAATTTTTATCGTAAAGTCACTAAAATATAGACTTATTTCGATGCAAATTTTATCTAGATTTGATTCTAAGACGTCAAAATTATCTATTTCGACTCGATAATTAAATTAATAACATATAAAGATAAATTAATAATCGAAACAGAAGATATATTATTCAACCAGCGTCGTTTTTTTGTAACTTGTTTATAATATTTATTTATCTTTTTATAACAATTTGTATAAAATTAATTTTAGGTATGGAAATCCATGCACTTTCTTCAAGTTTAAAGCCACTCGCGAGCTGGATTGCGAGAGATGGAATCCAAGAATGCAGAGAAGCTTGCGGAGGACACGGATATTTAAAAGGTAAATTATACCTGAATTTACTTGAATAAAAATAATTAAAATTGCATTCCATCCAAATAATTATTAAAAAACGTTGCCAAGAACATTTTTTAATAAAATCATTTGCAAGCTGTAATTATAAACTTAATTACCAAAATATTTCAGCTGCGGCTTTGGGCGATCTCCGTAATGATAATGACGCCAACTGCACATATGAAGGCGAGAACAGTGTCCTTATTCAACAGACGAGTAACTGGTTATTGAATTTATACAAAACTAAGGATACATCAAGCAGTCCTTTGAAATCTGCAGATTTCATAGTGAGATTAGAAGATATCCTGCAAAATCACGGCAAATGGACTCCTAGAAATATGGATGAGTGCACGCGAATTGAGAGTAAGTAGATTTATTTAAAAAATAAATATGAGATACAAATGTCTTCACGAAGTGATAAGGAAGTCTTTTGATAAAGATCTGTTTTTGAAGTCTCAAATAAAAAATAAAAAATTGCTGTTCACCCAGCATTTTATTAGCATTGTCATAATTCATTAATCTAATGAGAATATATTAAATAAATATTTTGATCAATTTCATTTATTTAGTAATTGACCAAAATGTTTAATAAAATAATCATAGATATAAAAAATATCGCCATTGAGTACACAATACTATTATTAATGCAGTTATTCAATTAATAACTATAATTATGGCATATATTCCTACTATCTACAGATATATTAAATGCATTCCAATGGCTAACTTGCTACCTACTAAAATTAACACATATAAAAGTCGATGAATTAAAAAAGCAAGGTTGCAGTGCCTTTGAAGCTAGAAATAATTCTCAAACATTCTACGCAGTTACATTGTCTGTAGTATATGGACAGGTGAGTTTCATTTAAAACTTAGCTTATATTTAAAAAAAATACTTTGTTTAGCTAATTATTCTAGCTTACCATCATACTCGGATGTCTAATCACTGGATTGGCATTCAATTCAGTCATTTTTAAGTACCATCAAATATTTGCTGATGTTCCATATGGAATAAGTGCAAATATTTAAATAAATATCCTAGTTGAAAATATATAAATGTATCTTTACTTTTTGAAGTTAAAGATAAGTTGTATTCTTTAGAAAGACTTTCCCAAAAGGTTACTATAATAACCAACACAAAAGAAATATATTGTTTTCTAATTTCTTTCTTACATCATAAGGGTAATAATACCATAATTTGATTTCAGCATTATCTATTGAAGCATTGTAAAGATTTCATAGAACAAGACCACATTAAATCCAACAAAGAAATTTATATGAGCTTAAATCGACTGATATCTCTATATGGCCTTTGGTCTTTGGATAAACATACTTCCATTTTATACCAAGGTAAGCATTATTTGAAATCATCAAAGTCAAATCAGGTAAAACTCACTTCTTTTCGATAAGGAATTTTATTTAAGCTTTATAGAATTGACTTTACTCGATAACATTTGAAATTTATACTGAACATTTTACATTTTCTAGGAGGATATATGCAAGGTGAAACCCCTGCAATTCTATTAAAAACATCTATAATAGAATTATGTGCACTTATTAAAAAAGATGCAGTAGGCTTAGTCGATGCAATTGCTCCTACTGACTTTTTTGTGAATAGTGTTTTGGGAATGTCCGATGGACAGGTAAGCAAAAATTTCAACAAAATATAGAATAGTACCAACATAAATTATGTATTATTAAAATAATAATATATTTTATTTATATTAACTACCACTTTTAATTTAAGGTTTATAAAAATTTACAATCGAAAATGATGCAAGCTGAAAATGCTTTGACGAGACCAGATTGGTGGCAAGACATAACAGATTGGAAGAGTTATGCTGGCTCCAAATTATAAATTGGTAATAATATAATAGATGCAGACTTAAAGTATATCTTATATAGAGAGAAATTATTATCAGTGAAGAGTAATTGAATGTATAGCAACCTGCTCAATCATTGCAGATTTAATTTGACTGATATTCAGGATTGCTTTTAGAGATCAAATTTGGTACACTCTTCTTTTAAATAGTATAATTATATTTTATCATACATTTAGATAACGAAGCAATTAAGAAATAACTGTTACTTCATATTATGAACATTTATTATTCTAAAAATATAAAATCAATTATTTATATGTGTCTCGACACTTGATATGCATCATTATTCAGCAGTTCATAACAACCTAAAGTTTAAAATAATATTTATATGATTTTAATTAACATTAAAACATCAAAACATAACAAGAATAATAAAAATTATAAAATCAACAAAAGTTTAATAAAATTATGATCTTAATCATTATACAATATTAATCGAGATAATCACATATCATGTGTTAAGTTTTGATATGTATAAATGAAGAATTGTTAATATTTAAATCATTTATTTAATTTGATATAAAGTAACAGTTATTTCTTAATTGCTTAGTATAAATGTGTAATAGAATTAATGTATTTTATTGAAATAGGAGTGCATGAAATTTCAGCTATAAAAAAGCAACCTTCAATAGTTATTTAAAACAGTCTATGTAATTCGATATAATAAAGTACATATTGCAATTTAGTTTAATATTAAGAATAAATATTACTTATATAATGTAGAATTTTGTTGTAGGTAGTTAAGAGAAAGCAATAAGCAACAATTTAAATGATTGGCTGTGAATCAGAGTTCATACTAAAACAATCGAAATATATACAAAATAGACTGAAATATCAATAATCATTGTTAATATAATGGTAAAGGTTGTTTTGTTTAAATATGAATTTATACCATAGAATTTAAGATATATACAATATAAGATACATACCATTGTATGAGATTTAATATATTTGTAACAATTATAGTAATGATCGGAATAAACTTTATTTACTGAAATAAAGTGTGTAATATAAAAAGTGAGGAGACAATCGTATTTGCTACATTATGTGTTTTCTACACTTTTGTCAAATTAAAATTTTTGAATGTAAAAATTCTGTACTTGGAGGAGCTGGGATTTGAACCCAGGACTTTCAGCATGCGAAGCAGACACTCTACCACTGAGTTACACCCCCTGTGAAAAGAACACTTTCAAAACCCAGAGATATGCTCCTAAGCAAGCATGGCCTTCTTAACATTAAATGTAAGTAATTAAAAATCTTGGTACGGAACCCAAAAAAAAATTACACAAAATGTGTACACATTATTAAAATCTCTATAAAATATCTGATAATTTGGTGTACATATGTCCAACAAACATATTTGACCGCAAAATGACTATTTTCTAACTTATTTTTATGGAGAGTCCATAACCGCTGGACCTGCCTTCCCAAAAATTAAATCAGGTTTTCATCTAGTCAATGTTTTTTGAATTATTCAAATCGTAAGCTTCGTACTCTCAAAAACTAAATTGCCATCTTTTAAATTCCCTTTTGAAGGGTAAGTTAAAGTAATTGTCCAAAAATCGAATATAGACTTTTTTATATTACCTATAGAAAAATTTATGTGTGTGTTTTGTGTGGATACAATTTTTCGTCTACGATTTGAAATATTCAAAAATTTTCGATTTTTACTGATGGGGAGACGTGCTGATTAGTTTTTGGCAAAGAGAGGTCCAGCTGTTTTGGAGATACGAAGCTAAATTTGCAAAGTGGTAGTTTTTGAGAGAACGAAGCATCCGATTTTAACGATTCAAAAAACGTTTTCCTTTTGTTGACAGTATGAAGAAACGAAGGTTTTATTTTTTGTCTATAGAATACGAATAATAAAAGTTACAGTATTTATAATAATATATTTAAAAACATTTAATATTAGCGAGATCCAGCAATTTGCCTTAAGGCATGATGCCATACACCACTAGCTGCACCTTTTGCCCAATATTTCTAAAACGGTACGACCTGCTTCTGCCAAAAACTGATCAGCACGTCTTCTCGTCAATAAAAATCAAATATTTTTCATATTAAATCTGTTAAACTGTACTTTCGAAACCGTATTACAATACGACTACCAGCCGCGACCAATTTATAGGACCAATTCGTCAATTCGTGACATAGCAGCAATGAAGATGAAAAGTTGCTTACGTCAAATCACCAAATATTTTAAACTAAATTAAACTTATTTTCTAATTATTTCATGAATACCAAATGCAAATTACCAAATACATACTGTAAACAAATTATTCGTACATAAGTTGGAAAATACTTCATTCCATGATGATTAATACTCCAGTTTAGTTATGTATGAAATGTTATCTAAGTTATTTGTTGTTTTTATTTACATTATTCTTAATACATTCGATTATCCGGAATTCCGATTATCCGAATGCCCATCGACAATAATTAGTCCGGTTAATCGAGATTCTACTGTACTTTGTAAAAAAAATTACAACTATTTCTCAAATATGTTAAAATTATATTGTACGACGATTATCTTCTATATATATAAAAATAAGTCGGGGTTTCTTTCCTGACGATTTAACTCCAGAACGCACGAACCGATTTCGACAATTTTGCATTCTTGGGAAAGGTCTCGGGCTCCGTAAGGTTTATAGCTGAGAAAATTAATGGTGCATGCCATCGTGCCCTAATGCAAATTGCTAGAACTTCATGCACCGTAATTAAAAATTCGAGTAATGACATAAGTAAGAATTATCAGAATTATGCTTGGTCAATTAACCAGTTGACTTGAGTCAACGAGCAATTCTTGCCGCCAAGAAATATGATGTACACGCACTGAATTTCACCATTCAATAAAAAATTGCTGGCGATTTGGTGACATACCAATGATTCCGACTGGTCTTCCGTTTGACTTCAAACGATTGCAATTTCCAGTTCGCCTTGCGTTCGCAATAACAAGTCGCAAAACCAATCCCTTAGTGTTTGCGGGATAAATCTCAAATATATTATTTAGAAAATCATTGTTTTTCACATGGGCAGTTATACGTTGCCTGTTCACGAGTTGGAAAACCATCCGCTTTGTTTGTGTTAACGTCAGACCCAAAAACAAAAAATGTGGTTTACCAAAGAGCACTTCAATGAAACGGATAATTTCGGAATTCACTTTCATTTACTCAGAGAAGTTCAACTAAAAAACACTTCATTTTTGTAATCGAAATGAATTCATTACTGTTGTATAATAAAATCAAATTTTTCCTTTTCAAATATAAAACAAACAAAAAATTTCTTCATTTAACTCACGAAACCATCTGGTGGCGGAACGGAGTTCGTCGGGTTTGCTAGTGGTTATATAAAACTATACGTTACGAAATGAAAAAATGCCGAATGCAAATAAATTAATATCTTGTTTTAATAATTTTTAAATCCCATTTACAAATTTATAAAAAATAGCAACAAATTACAAAAACAATGAACATTACCCAAGTGATAAGACTCGACTCGATTTAGAACACTAAAAGCAATATTTTTTGTTTGAATACAATCATAGCCGAAACTTACATAATTATTGAACTGTTATTATATGATTCTACTAGTATTCATTTCAATATTTCTATTTTAATTGTGATTACAAAGTATCAATAATTATCGTTAAAGCAAGGTCTCCAAAATGTTTACATCATTAAATGTTATGAAATATAGAACACAATCTTGCAGCAATCAGTTAGGGACTCTGAACACTTACATCGATTGTAAAAGATATTATTTATATTTATGCAATCTATTTTTAGTTTAGTTTATCAAAAATAATAAAAGAAGCTAATATCCTATTAATTCACAAAATAACATTATACAGAATCACTCCTACTTATTTCTTCGGTATCTGACTGCAAATTACACTTAACCGCAAAAGTTTCCCGGAACAAGTTTCAAATTTTAATTTAAATTAAATATTACCCCAAATGATGATATTAATTAAACCATAGTTTTTATCAAATATACTCAATAAAATACTCAATTTTATTGTCAACAGATGCTGCAGAAATTTGCTCCACTATTTAGGAACAATCGAACAGCAATTTTTCATTTAATTAAAATTTATTGTAACATTTACTAAACAAGCATTTGACAGAATTTTGTATCTATGAGTACAAATAGTAATAATGTACTAGTTTAAAATATGAAACAGTACCGACCATTTAAACAATTAAATACGATTGCTACGATTGTTTCAAAATAACTTACAAGATTGGCTTACAAGATATCTGGATATTTCGGAAAAATAAATAATTAAAAAAACTAGTCAAACATAAAACCAAAGATGTAGCCTTTATTGGTCTTTTTTAAAAATTCATTTTGTATGGTTAATTTGTTCATGCCATGCCAATCTATATCTTGATATGAGATATGATCTTTATCGACCCATAAATGCAATAGGAATACACTATTATAAAAAATATGTTCATAGCGATTTTTTTTTAGAAAATACTAAACATTTTCTTTTTCATCGCACGTAGGATAAGACACTGTTTTATATGTAAAATATCTCACATGTAATGCAAAATATATACAACTTATGTACCATCACCAATCCACATATTTAATACCCATTTTATAATGAAATATATGTGTTTGACTTGAATTATAGTTAAAATTATGAAATAATAAGAAAAAACAAAAAGTGAATGGAAACAGCACGATAGGATTTAAGTAAAAATTAAATTCGCGTAAACTTGATGCATTTACGCATCATATATTATTCCTTTTACGTAATTAAATTTTTTCGCAAAGTATATGAATATTAACTATAAAAACTATATCAAATATCGATCATAAATATTCAATTCCGTAGCCCTATTGTTTCGACGGAAAATAGTTTACAATTAAAAATCTCTCTATCCTAATTACAATATGAGCTCATTTTTATTATCATATAAATGGTTAAATGCTAATGACAATTAAATAAAGAAGTTCAAATAATCATGCATTTAACTCTTTTTCTACTAATACACCTTCATTTTGAGAAGGAAAGATTTCGACATAAAAAATATATTTACGTTATGGCTTCATAATAATTAGATATTAAGTACTTACAGTAACAAATCCTTCAATTACTTTTCCACAACATGTCCCATAACACAAAACACACAAGAACTGTTATAAATCACGAACTTTTACTTTACTCTAAACCACATGTTGATGTTAGTTCGATCCGATTGACAACTATTTACGGAACAATGGTATATAAATCAACACGTCTCGGCGATCCGATGTTTACAAAAAACTACGACTAGCTATCAGACTATATACATGTTTACGAAAAATATTACTATTATATTACTATTAAACTATAATTACAGTATCGTAGTTATGCAAATATTGTGCGAAACGAACATAAACAAACCGTCAACATGCGTCAACTAAACACGATCAAGGATCAAGCTGAACTAGTCAACTTATCCAATATCGGAGCAGTGTTGCCTTGACAGGGGTCGCATGGTGTCACTCATAGATAAACTGTCACTGTCACTTATTTTATATTTTTACATTAACGATTTAATGTTACATATTTCATAACATTTAATTTACCGAGTTTAGAGTTATTTCAAAAAAAATAGGGGGATATTTACGACTTTCATCATTCTTAACGTTAATGTTATCTGCTCGAACTTAACGTTGATCGTTATGTGATGACCATGATTTTGATGTTGTCGAAAGTTATATGTCTCTAAATATTTTTTTAACTCAAAACATTAATTAAAGAATCGAAGATTTAATAAATAATCTTAAAATATATTGTAACACGTATTATTTACGCGTAATTTTTAGTTACCAGAATTTGCCGTTAATAACGGTGCTCAAGAGTAAAATATTTGAGAATCACTGTGACAACCTGACAGATCAAAAAACAACCCTGTAAGCGATGGCCGTTTTTTTTTTAAAAACACATTTTACTCAATTTGAAAATATCAAATTAAAACCATGTAATACTATTATCGTTTTTTTATAATTTTTACTCGATTTCAAAAAATCAAATTAAAACCATGGACTACTTATTAACGCCTACATATTCGATGAGTTTATCCGTTTCCAAAATTTGCCGTTAATAATGGTCCTTAAAAAAGAAATAGTTGAGAGTCACTGTGACGTCCTGATGAATCGAAAAACAACACTGTAAGCCAGCGGTTCCCAACTTCCAGAATACTATTTTCGAAAAAAACCAAGCATATAATATATATTAACTTCCCGTAGGGTAAGTTATTGTAATGGGCCGAAAATCGGAATTGAAAATTTTTACATTTCTCGACGTTTTGAAGGTTTCTGAACATTTTGGCATACCTCAGAAAAAATGAATGTGTGTGTGTGTGTGTGCGTGTGTGCATGTATGTACGGATACAAATTTTCGCCCACGTTTTCGGGCGTACGGATCAACCGATTTGAATGGTTCAAAAAACATTCGATTCCTATTGATAGGGAAAAGAGCTGATTAGTTTTTGGCAAAGGCAGGTCCAGCCCTTTTGGAGATGCGGAGCAAAGAGTGCAGAAAATAGAAATCGAATTTTTGAGAGAACGGAGTATCCGATTTGAATGATCTAAAAAACATTCAATTAGTAATGATTGGGAAAAGTGTTTATTAGTTTTTGGCAAAGGCAGGCCCAGCCATTTTGAAGATACGGAGCTAAATATGTAAAAAATGGCAGTTTTTGAGAGAACTAAGCGTCCGATTTAAATGATTTAAAGAACTTTCAGCTTGTCTTAACAAAATAATTGATTTAGGAAAAAAAAATTTGTTCCATTTTTTTTTTCTTATGTTTTTTTCAGTTTTGTGTATATCGAAAATATTTCAATTTTATTTTTAATTCTGACTATAGTTCTAATATACTTTACAAATAATTTCAACTCTGCAATTCAGTTTTTATAATTCTTATAAATATTACAATGTTACAATATTTATAATAATCTATTTGAAAACATTCAGTATTCCTCGAACATTTCGTTACGGTACGGGAAGTTCCAGCAATTTGCCTTAAGGCACGATGCCATAATTGCCTCAAGACAGAATTTCACTTACAGCTAGTTTATTTTTGAAATGACAATAAAAAATAAACAAAAAATATTTAGGTTTTATTCACATTTTCACCTAATATTGCATATTAATTTGTAGTCTGATAATATCATGACTGCAGTTATGTATTTATAAAATTAAGGGAGGGGCGCAACATTTTTTTTTATTAGAGGAGAGGGACGCTGTGCAAAAAAGGCTGGAAACTGCCCTTTTTTTAATAAAACATTTTACTTAATTTGAAAATATCAAATTGAAACCATGGACTACTATTCACGCTTACTTAAAAAACATTTTGCTCAATTTGAAATTATCAAATTAAAAACGACTACTATTCACGCTTTTTTTTTAAATATTTTACTCAATTGGAAATATCAAATTAAAACCATGTATTACAGTTCACGCTTTGTTTAGAAAAACATTTTACTCAATTTGAAAATACCGAAAACTGAAAATTTCGAATTAAACGATGTAAACTTGAAAAGTGCCTGCATATAATTTGCCTAAAAATTTTCTAATTTGTCCCAAAATAGTGAGATTTTTCTCGCTCCGTATAAACCAAGTTGTATTGTTTGCAATATGTAAAAACTATATCCTATAAAAACTATAGTTTTACTTATATCGAGATTAATGTAACAACATAAAATGCTAAATATTGACCCTTCCGCTACATGTGTCGTCCATATGAAAGACATCCAGTTGACCACTTCTGTATACGAGTGTCGTCCATGGACGCGGACGATATATTGCGTTTTCCTTTGCTTCAAGATTCATTACTTTGCATTAAACTAAATTTATAAATTAAATAATTTAAAAATAAAACTATCACTAAACAATATGCATATAATATATATTTAGTTTTTAATAGCAGGGTATTTAGAATATTTCAACTTATTACGTATGCATGAATAACTTACATGCATTTTATATTTTCTAAAACACTTTACATACATATATATTTTCTTTAAGATTTTTACAACAATTAATTTAATATTATACAATTATTTTCTATATCTAAAACTTATCCATACAGAAAGCGGGACTGCAGATATATTTTGAATAAGACTAAAGACATTAAAAATGCAACTCTGTCGTTGATCGATTTTAAAAAATAATTCATTTAAGAGACTTTGTGTAGCTAACTAAATACTCAAGTTAATTATGAAATACCACCTATGGAACACTATTATGATTGTCAGTTCCAAATTATTTTTTAAGTGCGTATTCTTATACAAAGCAAATCAACAAAATACAAATGTTTATATAATATAATTAAATTCAAATTGAAGTTATTAACAATATTTGCTAAAAGTAATCGCGCATTCTGTATGATATGACAATTAAATATCTAAATTGAGATTTTAGCTCACAAAAAGTATTGTTTGTTTCTCAAAAAGATTAAATTTAAAAACTTTACTTTCGCAGATAAAAGATCATTATTATTAATCTAATTTACAACTTTGATAAATATATTAATCGTGTAGCTTTATACATATTCAAATATAAAAATAAAAACAGACATTTATTTTTATAAGTTGTTCTGCGATACATATAAGTAAAAGGTACATTTTCTTGGTTATCCTAATTTAGAAGTTCTAATATAGTTAACGTAATTTCATAGCACACAGGAATAAGGCATTAAGCTTTGCGAAATAAGAACATTAATACTTCATCGCAATATATCTTATGAATAAATAGCAATTTATTTTATATGTGTATATATATTTACATATAAAATAATTTGCTCGATTTTTAATATCAAATAAGTTGAGCAGCCACGAAGTGTTTACTACTAGTTTTACTTAATATAAAACCTAAAAAGATAATATGTATGAAATGATTTTTATGCTTTCTTACATTCACAAAGCTGATGTCTTATACTGATATAAGTTTAGAAAATCACAGTACTGCATGCACGTGAAATAATGGTGCAGACATAAGCCTATATATATATATATATATATATATATATATATTTATATTTATATATAAAGGAAACATATAAATAAATACTAATACATAGCTCTAGAATCTTAAATTTTAAATATTGAATGGATATATACAAGAAAATATAAAATTCCCATAGAAGCACATGTTACACTATAAATACACATATAAAATGTTTGTTAAACAAATGTTACACATTGTTTTTACATTACATACATAATTTTTAAAGTGCTTTGAATGCCATTATAAATAATTGCTTCATAATCATAGCGGTATGTATGATTGCATAATCGATTTAAAACTAGCAAATTGTTTCATCACCTGATGATATAGTTTCTGCATCGTGGACATTTTTAATATTTTTGAATGGACACTATTGTGAAAATAAATAGTATGATTTATATATATAGATAAGCAAGATGTGTAAATACAGTTTTTATGTACATGTACACATATTACTAACAATTATCTAAATTTACAATTTATTATCTAAATATCTATTTGAATTGAGTTCACATACTTTTACAATTTGGCATGAATATATTTGATTCTTTATATAGTTCAAGTGTGATCAGTATTATAAATATATATTATTCAATAATACATTTAGTTAAAGCCAATGCATTTTATATCAATACTTATTATACATTTATAGATTTTGTTTTATTATCAATAATATTTCAGACATAATCCAAATTGTGACCCACAATACTTATATAAATGTGAACTAAATATTTGAAAATTAAAATATTTACGTATAACGTATTTTACAAAAAAAAAGTATACTGTCACAAAATATATAAATACAATATACATTTAATTACATCTATAAAAGATCACATAAGGGTATATAACAATTTTCATTTAATTAATTTCATCACCTCCAAAAAGTATCAAGCATATTGCTTCATTTGTATGATTAAATATTTCATTAATTATATAATAATACCATATTAATGAATACTATTTGATTCCATTTTAATTACATTTTTCGTTAAAAATGAACAGTGCCTGACTGAAAAATATAGTATGTTTTTATATAGTATTTTACTATATAAAAACATAAAATAAATGCCAAAATATCTTTTAACCAATATTGTCTTTTTTTGTCTTTAAAATATTATAAATGAAATTAATTTAGATCTATTTTTCATTTGATAGATGTTGGTTATATAAACCAATATTTTACACAGATCTATCATAGTTATTTTTGGTATTCAGCGAGTATTATCTCACAAAAAATAAATTTAATATTTTCATTGTATTTGCCGTTTGAATAATATTTACTGTTCTTGTAATCGGCTTTTCAAACCATAAACATGTATTCGATACATGATAAACAATCTTAAGATATTTGAATGTAAATTAAACAAATTAGGTAATATTGTTAAAAAAGAATAGATAATATTCATGGTTTATAATTGGAAATTTAAAACAGTCCAGCTGCTTTTGATGTGTTATTAAAATGCATTTTACAATTTGTATATATTATTTGTTAATCAATAAATCACAATCGATATTATTTATCTTCAACCGCTATATATTTTAATAAAATATTTTGTTAATTTTCATTAATTATCTCTATTATAGCAATATTTATGTACTTGTATATAAAATAATATAAAAATTATAGTAACGTTTATTTAACATTTTTTCTATGGCCAGCAAATTTTCGATATCCTTAATCGTGGTTTTAAAAATGCTGTATTTGATTCAGATAACATTAATAAAATAAATATTTCCTATCATATGATGACCATAGGTATGCAGAGCACCCAAGTGTCTGCATACACCCACAATACCGTATTAATTGTTTAAATAGAATTTGAATTTGTATAACATTATTTTATCCTAAATTTGTCATGTTCAAGTTACCTCTACCCACATTAATAATTAAATACTAGACTTCGATAGAATCTTTTACATTTTAACAAACTACATATAATCAACGGGTCTATACATTAATAATTTCCAAATAATCTATTTTCGCACACTTTTTTAATAAATCACAACCTAATCTAACATTGATCAGATCTTTGCACTTTACTTTTCTTCTTCACTAGGAGTTCTGGCTGGTTTACCGGCTTTCGACTGAATTTTAACATTTGATAACTGGGATTGATATTGGGGAGGACCTACATTTGGTTGAGGCTGATACTGGCATATTTGAGATGCAATATTTTGTTGACCCTGATATAGGCAGATTTGTGTCGGAAGTTGACTTTTGACGCAGGGCAATCTGGTGCTCATAGACCTCTGTAGGGAGCAGGCCTCGTCCATCACCGGATAGCTCTTAGTTCGCTTCGCTGATCTGTAGAAACAAAAATAATTAATTGAAATTAAGAGAATTATAATATATACATAAATAAACATTATTACAACCTGCATCATCTCGAATGAAATTTGAAAAATATAGTGATAGAGTTGCATAAATGTATTAAGATATAGTTAAATCTGATTCGTAAAATATAGTAAAATTTCTGAACTTTAAGTAAAATAATGAATTAAAAAAATATAAATAATAATAAATATTTTTTAAATATGAGAGTAAATTTTGTATTATCTCAAATAATATCTAAGAGAAAACGGAATGGTTTACACAAAATTATTTTTATTTTTTAAAAAATGTTATTGAAACCTATAAATGTTAATGAAAATCAAAAATAATAAAAATAAAATTAAAAAATAATAACCTATTAAATGATATTGAAATACATGCAATCATTTGAATTAAAATAATAAATCTTTCGTCCCTCTGGGATTTTCAATCATTAAATAAGATATTGTAGTCTTAACCATTCCGAATACCGCAGATTAACAAAAAATATATACATATAATAGTTTTGCTTTTGCAATACAATTTGGTACACATTTAACGATTTGTAATTTTAAAAATCTACACAAATAAATTTTTATTGATTTTCTCGTAGTTATGACTTTATAGTTAAAATTTGAAATTAATATTAAAGGACTTCTAATATTATGATTTATCAACATTTTTTCTAAATATAAGCGGTTAGGAAATATACCATAATATACAATTTGATACAATTTTTAAGTTGGAAGTCAAAATGCAAAGAAATTAATCAAAATTATATTAAAATTAAAACTTAATCAATCAAAATTATAATATATCATAATTTGAAACGCCATTAGGGAATTGAAAAGCATATTCGAATACATTTTTATAAATAATTTAAATTAATCGCACTCTTCGGCAGCAAAATGATATTCAACATATTAAACTGGTGTTTAATAAAAAATCTTCAAAAAACTATATAAGTATTGGTACTAATATTAATAAAATTAAATTTCATTCGTTATAATGTAGATTCGAATAATAATTAAGCGGTAATATAATTCTGTCAAAACACCGAATATTTTCAAATATACCCAAAAGATACAATAAAAAATACAGGGTATTTTTTCTAAAATTAGACTATATAAAATGGAATTACTCTACATATACAAATAATGATGTATTATTTACAATTTGCAAATAATATAAGGGAAACATCAATTTAACATGAGATAGGATCATAAAGATAAATAACGTTATCTAGTTGAGATCACAAAATTTTGGGCTCAAAATTTAATCAAGTAAGGTACTACAAGTGTATTTTTTCAATTATAGATAATAGGTATGATGGTAGGGCATTGAAGAACCTGAAATAATTAACCATACTGAATAACAACATTTCAGTCTGTTTATGAACCATCGGCTTGCAATGCAAGAAGATTTTAATTTTTAGGATGTTTGTTCTTTTACATAGTGTCTAAACAATTAAACATACCGGTCATAACAATCCAATAAACAACTGAAATCGTGCCATTATATGTATGTTCATAATATAATATCAACTTCACATATTTTTAGATATATGATTGATATTAAAATCCAAATAGAATAAACAAACTCTACAAAAACAAATACAGTGGTACCCCGCCCTACGAGCGACTCGTCATACGAGATTTACTAGATACCAGTCGCCGTAGGTTATCGAAAAATTTGCTTCGATATACGAGAAATTCGACATGCGAGCGTGATTTTGGAACGAATTAATCTCGTAAGGCGGTGTACCACTGTATTACAATGTATCGACTGATTGCGGTCTCAGAATATGAAAACCCATAATTATCAAACACAGAATGTGTTTCATATAAATTTTCCAACTGCTTCAATCTATTTATAGAATAGCTTGAAAGCCATGGGAGATTTTATTAATATTTTATTTTAGAAAAATTTAAGTCGTATGTATTAAAGTTTTTGGCCGTTAGATAAACTTTGGAATCTACCATGTGTCATATTTCTTCATAATATTAGGATGGTTATATAAAATATAAATGCACTCAGATAATTGTTATTTTAAAAAGCCATTATATTAATTAAATGATGTAAAAATTATGTTAAAGATATATTAAATTAATACATTAATCAACTCAAAATGAAAGCGACTATAAACTGTTTAGACTAATATGGGCTAGAATAATTAATATCAAAATCCAAATAAGAAAAATTGTGTGGATTTTTTTTTCATTTACGATTATAATGATATTATTACTTCTTAGAGATTTTACTATTTTTATGTGTATGAAAAAATGCATAATAGTTCAAAACTCAAGCTATTCATTAATGCTATCACACAAAGCTTAAATCGAAATTTAAATAAATAAATTTCGAGTTAAACTCATTACAAATATCACACAGCCTCTCTTGCATATATAAATATATATGAAAAGTGCTCAAATATCAAAAAAAGTGCCATTGAGCATAAAAAAGTGCCATGCCATTCGTTTTGTGGTTAGTGCACAAATCGCAATGGAAAAAATATTAGTAAAAAACAGACAAAAACATGAAATTACCTTATAGAAAAAATAGAGTTTTTAGATCAAATGCCTTCTTTTGTCATCTCTTGAATATTTGGGAAAGAAAGATACATATATATTTATATATAGCACACCTCACACATCAATATATAAGTAGATTGTATATATCTTGATATACGCTTGTATATATCTTGATATAAAAGATTTCAAAATATAATTTTCTTTGGTTAATCAACTCTTCTACGAGGTTGCTTTTACAAAAAAACAGTCCTTAAATATCCTGACACCTGTAAATTATTCCGCATAAAATAATTTAGTTAAAATTAAGAAAAAAACAAATATTAACAGAAAAACACTCAAAAATCAAACTACCGGTTCTGGATTCAGAACTATCATGAGTGATTTAGTGACATATACTTGTATGAGCAACGACGTATGATCTAAAAAATTTGATGAAACGATTTATTAACTTTCCGCGAAAGAAGTTTAGTTTTCGCCAAAAAATCATACTTACTAATTTTACGTTTTCTCGTCATTGAAAATCTTTGAGAGGGAAATTAGAAAAAACATCATGTACAAAGTGTGTGCGTAAACGTGAGACAAAATTTGACTTCTTTTTTAAAAACGACTGCACCGATTTAAAAAATTTAAAGGCCATTTGAGCCATAAATTTGTGTCATTGATTCGTTTTGATAGAAGAAATAAATCTTTTAAATACTATAAAATTAAATACTTCCAATACAATTCGATACCAGTAACACATCCGATTAAATCTAACGTTTGTTAAAATTTAAATAAAATAGAATTTGATTATATCTACAAAATATTTGATTCGTATTAAATACTTTGGAACTATTTTGTATTATGAAACTGTACACAGTTTCAGCTTTATCTGCTTGCGATCATATGTGTTGCTCACAAACACAAAATATTTAAAATATTTACAAACATATGAATAACATTAAAACAGGGTTAATTACAGGTAATGACATACAATTCCACTATCAAACACCGGGAATATGTTAAAATCACACATAGAACACATACAGTCACTATACAATGTAGATCTACCATTGGATGTTGGTCTCTTAGATCTTCTGTTAGTAGAAATGACTAATCAATTTTTAGATCGAAGTAAAAAGGATTGGTTAATAATACTTTCAACATTGGGTTTATTTTTCAAACGTGTGCTAAATAAACTTTACGTTTAGAAAGACATCCACTTTTGTTGGCTGGTGACGACTGCAATTGAATATTACTATTTGTAGAATCCAGACTGAAAATTTAAATATATTAGTTATAATAAGTGATAAAATTTCTGGGCGAGAAAATCAACTATTATTGGGATGTAGGGGCGGTACTATGAGTCAAGTATTTGTTGTATTTGTACAAGTGAACTAAAAGAGTTTGAGTATTTTCACATATTGTATATACAATTATCATCAACCCTTCCGCTACGAGCGTCGCCTATAGGCGACATTCGCATGCCGACCGTTTGTACGAGTGTCGCCTATAGACGACGTGTGTAATCTTTTGCTCAATATTTATCACTCTGAAATAAATTATTATGAATTATAATTTGTTATTGTAATTTTCAATTTTTAAACACATTTTTATCAAAAATTATTGAAAAATCTTATGTTAATTCGCTAGCTCGAACAGCATTGTCCTTCCTGTGGAACCGTCGTAGCGGAAAGGGTTAAAGAAGTTTGCTTTGCCACCAACAAAATAAACAAAGTTCTGCTCGATTTATTTTGTTAACTATTTTTTGTAATTTTTTCGCTGTTTGATAATTATCCTATAAAAAGTTTCATGTCTAAAACATTATCGAAATAAAAGCGTTAGGATCATAACATTATGAAACAAATAACAATACCACAATGGTGCATTATCGCCAGTGTCATAATTAGAGTTGTTTAAATGAAGAAATAATTTTATGTATATATGCTATACTGCGATAATATTTTACACATATTGTAGTAATAATAATAATGTTTGGTGCAAAACATTCACAGTTCATAGCGAAGTCGCACCTTGTAAAATACATTATAAATTTTTATGCTTCCACTTACCTTCGCCGCCTGAGTGAATTGTTAGCCCCTGCAAATTGTCCGGGCAAAACAAAATGACCACGGGGCAACAGGGCCCTGTGGCCCTGAGCGGCCCTAGCGTGCCCTTGAGAGCACAATTGAGCAAGGTGGGCCGCATAACCATCGGACAATACGGTCGCTTGGGAATGGTGCTTCTTAGATACCTTTTGTAGAATATTTACAAAAAATCTTAATATATTTTAAGAAAAGTAAAAACACCATGTAAAATATTGAAGTCTTATGATAGTTGCGATAATGTAATAATATGCAAAAAATAGCATTTATCAAAGTTCGCAAAAGAAAATCCGATTTGCTTAGGGGGAGTCCATTGATCACGTGATCAAATTTTTAAGGATTTTTGGACCCCCCCTCCCTGTTGGTGATACATGGTGATATTCAAAATTACCCCCCCCCCCAAACATCACGTGTATTTTTAGTAACAAGAAATAAATCTCAAATTTTTGATTTTGTTTTGAAAATGTTTGGATTTTTTTAATATTCATGTGAAAAAAATACACGTTATATCTTACTATATAAAATACCCCTCCCTCTCCCTAAAAACCTCACGTGATTAATGAACGCCACTTTTTTTTACATTTCTTGTAGTTATTTTGAAACGTTTGTCAGCAAAATTGGTAAGTGTATGTGAGCCAAAAATTTACCCATCGCCAAAGTTATTTTACCAAAAATGCCATTTAATAAAACTCGGTAAAAATTCGAGTTGATTAGTATTGATATCATCTAAACAGTTTTTTATAACGAACAAAAGGACAGATTTTATCAATAACGTTTCGCTAAAAAATCTGAACCAATTATGTGAATTCAAAAAAAGTTCGGAAGATATCTGTTTGGAATCATACTGATCAGTATATAATTAGTTGAAATAAATTGTTGAAAAAACATTATTTATAATTATTATATAAAGTAAACGGTATAGCTAAAGTGTATAAGTAGGAAAAACCCTAAAATATTATAGTTAAAATATTATAGAAAGAAGTTAAAGCATTATAAAAATTCATTTAAGCTTGGAATAATAATTTTTTTTTTTCGAAACAGTTCATTGTTCTGTTTCGTTTTTAACTCATGCAGTTCAAAGATTGCAAATCTCAATTCTTATTGATTAAGTCAATTATTCAGACTTATCAAGAAGATCATGCCAATTTTGTTTTCAAAATACAATAATCACCTAGTTTTATAATTGCAAATAAAACATACCTTTCCAACTATATATATCTGCTTCGGAGTAAGGCCTATATTAGTATACACTGTAATATCTTTTGCTGAACCATATGCTTGATGAATAATAACACCATGATTCTGTAATTGTAAAAAAAATTAAATAATTATAAATATAACTATTATTTAATCATCAAGTTTAAAACTTACTGTGATTAATCCATTAAGATATGCTGCCTTATGACCTAAGGGATCTGTACTTAAACCATCTGCAAATGAAACTAATCCGTGAGGGAAATTATGTTGGCACAACCAAGCCAATACTCGTCTTTGCTGCATGTCTGGTCTGCCAGTTACGTATACTATTAGGTAACCTAATTCTTGCCAATGCCTGTAATAAAAAATATAGATGATTTTTTTGTTTATATTATAATTATTTTACTACAGAAACAAATGCTGGAAAATAACAGAATTATTCGAATTAATTGTTAATTTTATATGTAGAAATGATGAATAGTATGTACAAGTTCGTTGAAACTACCCGAATCGAAAAAGATATGTTAATACTACGCTAGGATAGACGTTGGTTTATAAAATTTGCCCTATCTGCGATTAGCTGCAAAATAATTATGCTTTTACACCCGCATTCCACAAAAGTTTATCACTATTTTCCAAATTGTTATGAAAATAAAATCGATTATAAAGCAGTCAATGTAAAATGCAATATTTTTTAAATAAATTAAATATTTATACAATAAATAATCTTCTCACCTCACGATATCTACTGCACCAGCTCGAACTTTTGGATCTTTACCCGTTACAGAAACGGAGGCCGTAAATGAGCCATCTACACTAAATACGACGCATTCTGTTTGTGGTGGAACAACTGCTAAGTAGAAGTCAACGCAAGTGTGGTCACCTCTGTTAAATAGCAAAAATTATAAATCGAGGAAATAAAAAAATTACAAAATAAATTCAGTCTTATGCACCTTACAACCATTTTAACAGGATGCAATCCGTAGCCCATGGCTTTATCCTGCGGAATTGTAAATGTTGCTCTTCCTGTTTTGTCTGTTAACACCGTTCCCAAATAATTCCATTCACCGGCGTTACCAGCGTTTGCTTCAAAAATCGAGATCGTTTTTAAGTATAATATAATATTAAAATTAAAAATATTTTAATATACTTTATTTCTTCATATTTTAATTATCATAAAAATCTTTTTCTAACCGCTCATTAATAAATATGAGGGAGAAGTTGGGGATAAAAAAATTATTGATTAATAAATCTATTCTTCTCAGATTAAGCCTTAGGTTAAAAAAATCATGTTAGCAGATTATTGAACACAAAAAAAACTTACCTGTTGCACTTCCATCTGAAATATGGACGTCAACCAGCTCTCCTGCGAGTGCTATTACGTCCAAAGGACCATAAGCAAAACGTGCAACTAGTTTTTGCTCCGCTCCTTCACCTGGAATTTTAAAGAATATTAATAAAATTGTGGTGTTTAATAAAGAATAATAACATTTTTACAAATAATATAATTCAATTTTTGAATAGAGCAATAAAGAAAAGAATAATTACCTGCAAGAGCATCATTTGCCCTGTGATTGGCAGCAGCACTGCGCAATTTGACGCCAGTTCTCCTCCTCAGCCATTTTTCTCGCGCTCTCATTGGTTTAAATGTCGAAGCAGAATCACTTACAGCATTGTTTGAAGTAAAACCAGTTTGAAATGAAAACGGTGAATCATCATATCCTGCGAGTGAAGATGGATCCAGTCGTCCCACCTGCAAAAATCGAGATTTGGAAAATCGAGAAATATTGAAATTGAGACACATAAATATAAGGATTGTGCTCATTGATCATTATTTGAATGCTATTCACTAACAATTTATTATATTTACCTGTCTTAAAATGAATGCCACCACATCTAAACTTTCCCAGTAACTGGCGTGAAATAGATGTGGCAACGCATTGGTTGGAAAGTTTGCCAAACCTTCGGGACAATAGAGAGCGTAATCTAGCCGTTTGGTACCCCACCATTTTTGTTGCACTACAAGCAATTAAAAACATATTATAAAGGAGGAAGTAACTTTTCCAATTTTTTAAAAAAATCAATTCATTTTGGACTTACGTGCGTTTATTGTTTGTAAAGGAATGTTATCCATAAGTCCACTAACTGAACTTTGTATTGATACATCAGACAGCCTTCTCGATTGATTGTGACCTGAAGAGGTTGTACCAAAATTGTCCGTAAACAGTTGCGGATTGCTTTGTATTAACTCCACTATTTGTGAAAATAAAACATACAATTTAGATATATTTTATTAATAAAATTATATAACCAAAATAATATATCACAATAATATACATTATTTATCCTAATAAGTTTTTATCTTAAAATATATGCTTTGTTATTTCTGCTTTGAATTTTGACTCTAGATTATATTAGTTAATTTTTATAAAAACTCATAGTTCCACCGCTTTCTGATTTTACAATCGATAATAATTTTGGTACTCACATAAATGATAAGGTTGACCATTTCCCAAAGGATATTTAGCATATCGTGCTACTCCAACTGGAGGTAAATGCTTAAACCTTGCACTTAGTAAAGGTTCTAGACGGACGGCTGTAGGATCGGTGAGATGGAATAGATTGTAGATTTGAGTGCATTGTGGTCGAGGTATTGTACCTGAAAATTTAAAAATATTAGATAGTAGTGTATTGGTATTTTAAACTATATGAAAATAATGATTTGAATAATTATTATTTAGAAATAAGTAAAATTATAGAATTTTATTGTAATTATGTCGTAATATTCTTACCATTTTTATCATCAGAAATCCTCCTAGCAGCCAGTACTAAAGCTAATGGACTTCCAAACATAAAAAAGTCGGAAACGTCAAAATCAAATCTAACACTAGCGTTTGATACCTCACTGAAACAATAATTTTATATTACATAAGATAAAAGATTAAATATAAAAATATATGAATTTTTACATTGTAAAATTGTTAATTGAAAGTGAAAGAGATACCTTATAGAAGAAGATCGTCTTCGGGTGGCCGGTGCTTGAAGTAGTCTTTGAGCATCAATTTCATTTTCTAAATTGCCATCTATAAAATTTAACACTACATGAATTCTTCATTCGAGTATACCAATACGCAATCGTCAATAAACATATTTCAACTTACCTATACAAACAGGAATTTCAGCGTTATCTAAAATAATACTGGAATCACTATCTCTTCGTTGAGATGTTTTACATAAAGCATCAAAACAAAGTATTGAACCTACTGAATCTCCTATAAGACATACTTGACCACAAAAACCTCTGCCTTCTGAACATTTTAAAAATTCTAGAACAAAAAATAACACTAGCTTATATATCTTGAAACCAATGTGTTATAAATTACCATCAAATTTATTATGAATAAAATATCAAATTACCATTATATACGTTATTTGTTGACATTATTGTTTTGTGAACAATTTCATGGTACTCCTGAGTATTTGTTGCCAGCAATGGAATAGCTCCAATTGGTATGGAATCCTGAGTGGCACCAGCATTAGACCATTCTCTGTCATTTTGCTGCTGAAATGCTGATGCCCCACCAGTGGATATAGGCGATGTATCAAAACTATATGGACTCAAACTAGAAAACGAAATATGATAAATCAAATTGTGAAAATAATATTGTAAAAATAATATTGTGAAAATATTACCAATTTATTTAAAACCAATTAATTTTTTTTCCGATAATATTTGTTGATATTATTATTTTTTTGACTAATCAAATTTCATATCTATTAGTCATTAATAGATCATAGAAAAATATAATTATTTATAACAAGATGAAATCTATTCAAAATAATGTTTAGCAAAATTCTAACCGTTTTATGTATATAATTAATAGATAAACATTCCGATCTCGTTACCTAAGTTTTTTGCAATGAGTTCAAAAACTTCTTGTTCTAAGTAATTCTTGATTAAATTTTTTGTTACTATTAATTTACCTGTTCAGAACGGCTATAGAATGAGCGCAAATACTTTGGCAATCTACCAGTCTAACTGCTATTCGCCCTAATAAAGCTGGGTAATGTTGTTTTACTACACATTCTAGAGCTCCAACAAATGTTAAAACATCAGATTTTTTGGATGTGGAATCAACTTGAGCATCTAACAAACAAAGCAATTATGTTAATAATAAAATAATACAAAGTAATCAAACATTTATTTATCAGTTATATATAAATAATTATAATTTATTTATAATATCATATAGTTGATAAATAAAATAGCTGTTAAAATATAAATACTCTGAAAAAAAATTCAAAACTTACTTAGAAATTAATAATTAGAATAGTAGAAAAATCTACATAAATGTATCAATATCAGTTGCATTTTTAAATTACGTTATAAAAATAACAATTTTAATATATTTAAAATCCTGAGTTTTGCTTCAAAATTACCTACCTAGAACACTACCAGCATGCAGTACTAATATAAGAACTGTAGTGGGGCAACTATTATCATCAAAGTCTCGTCCAACTCTTGATGGAGAAGGACCAGCAGAAGACACAGAAGTTGCCGGGCTATCACCAACGCCTCCTCTTGGAACTCTACCAGTTTTCGCAGACATTCGATATGACGGACTAAATATACTATCATCTGCAAAAATTGTAAAATGTTTTCAATTACAAAATAAATATTCATAAAACAGTTATTCTTTTTAGGATATAAGCTATTATTATTACCATTAGACCCACCAGTCAAAGGCGATCCATCTAAATCTTCCTCCATCAGCAATTCTAAAGAACTCCATTTTGCTAATGATGTTGCTTCAACTGCCATTTCACCTAAAAACATATAAAGAATAAATTTTATTACACAATCAAGGCACAATAAACGAAATGCACTTCACAGATAAGCATTTAGTCTACCTTGGCAGTCGAAAAATTCTTCGTCATCGTCTTCATCACTATCTTCTGTACAACTTTCATCAGAATCCCTTCGCACCAATCGCCAATCTATTGGATTCTGATTGATGCCTACGGATGACCTGCTAGCTTGATCACTGAAAAATTAAATATTAATAATCCGACAAACAATTTTTAAACACTACTGCTTCATATACAAATACTTTAACGAAGTAAATAATTATTGAAGTTAATATACAATCAAATAAACATTTATCATTATAGTGGACCAAATTCCGTATTAACTTTTTTGTTCGACAAAGTTGAATAATGTGTACTTAATTATTAAAACTATATGCAAATTGCAATTCATCAATTTTTAACGATTAGATTCAAGTCTACCATCTAGTAATATAAACTGAGAATTCCCAAATATAAATGTATCAAAAATTAATTCAGTAAATTTATATACATTTCTTGGGCCACATAAATAACTTTATAAATTATTTAAACTTAAAAAATACAACTTAAATAGACTGATCATGACTATATCCACTTTACTAGTATAGACTACAATTCGTAAAACTTCGGTTAAAAAAATTGATGGAAAGATCATGTTCTGTAAATTATCATCAGATGAATAAATAAAAGTATATACATTTTTAAAGTTCACATTTCCTTGTAATCAACCGTTAAAGTATTTTTAACTAATGTTAAGATTTCAAAAAATATTCCATAGGTTTCAAATATTGTTAACTGTAGCCGATCCATTTTTTAAAATTAAAAGACATAATTTTTATTTCATTTAATATATTTAATATAGATTCTCAGATTGAAATAATACTTTAGGTAAACCAACATGCAGAATAAAAGCTTTTTGAGACTGCTTACCTTAATAAATCATCTTCACTATCAGTACTTTTATTAGTATTATTAGTATCAGTACTAGTCGTAGACTTCTTGGATGCTCTCGGACTGACCTTTTGCTTAGGTTTAGCAATACCGGACATTTTCACAGCCACAGATTTTCGGTTTTTGTTGGCAGAAGATATACTAACATTATCAGCGTTTGATTTTTTATCATCGCCTTCATTTTTATCAACTGTGTCTTCTGTCGTTTCAGTATCTTCTGAATTATTGTTCATTTTATTTCTGAGAGCTAACTGAGTTTGCCTTTCGATCTCCCTGATGTCGTCCATCGTCAGGTTGTGCCACTCGTCCTGCCACGCCCAGGCCTGCCTGTGCGCTCGGAGCATCGTTTTGCGCAAAGCTAATGATAAAATAAGTAATAATCTTATATTGCAAATACCAGTAATAATAATATTTGCATTATCTATAGATTTGCAAAACACAAATAAAACAGCGTAATATGTGTTTTTGATTCGTCGTCTTAATGGGATTTTACTGTATTTCCAAATACTTCATGATTTTGGAAGCAAAGTATATTTTGAAAGCGAACCATGTTCATTTCTGATAATGAAAGTCAAGCTAGAAAGCGTCGGCAAATCTTTTTCGGACCAGAATGCGTTTCGACAAAAAATTTTTTAAAAAATTGCAATATTTTTTCTGATTTTGGGGGAAATGCAAGATGCCCATAATAAATTTTGATTCACATTTGTTGAGAACTAAAATTTCCAGATGTGTTTCGTGTAAGAAATTGAGTACATATTTGAAACTATTCCATCGTATTATTGTAATAAACAGATATATGCACAAAATGGATTTTGTAATGTTTTTTTTTTTTACTTTTCGAACCCAACCGGAACAAATATGAAAACCGGTTTTTGAAGCGGTCTTAATTTTAGCGTTCGGGTAAAAAAAGTATTAGCACAACACAACTGATTAAACCCCGTACTAATAAAATAAGCCTAAATTTTGCATATTTCAATAGGTTATACCTTTAAAAATAACATACCAAAATTTTTAAATCGATATCTTAAATAGTTTTTGAGTTATAGCCATTTAAAGAGTATATATATATATATAGTATATATAGTATAACGATCATTTAATTTTTAAACGCGTTTTTCTCGAAACAGCATTTTCCGAATTTGCTGCAGCGATTACTCAAAAACAAATGATCCGATCACTATCAGTTTTTTTTACATGTTCTATATATAGTTCTCCGTAAAATGAACTATCGATTTTTTGATCGGATCAAAAATCGAATTTTGGCAGTCCAAGAACGACCAAAATTTTGGGTAAAATTCGACTTTTTTTTAAAAAACGTAATTTTGTCAATTTTTGATTTTTTTTTCTTTATCGTAGTTCATTTTACAGACAATATTATCTAGTTTAACGAGATTTTTTTTTTAAATTTCATACACGTAAAAGGCCGGAATCACTGCAGTAGTGAAGGGCCTTTTTTTATCGCGCCGTTGGAGATCGACGATAACTTAAAAAATATTTAATTTTTTTCTTCAAAAATTTACTATGTATTTTTAAAACATGTATAAATATATTCCTAAAATTTTGAAATGATTGATAAAGTAGTTTTTTTTAATATAAATTCCCAAAAATCAACTTTTTTTTAGGCGGCTAAACTAGTTGTGCCCCTTAATAGGACTTGTATATTGAAAATTTAGAACCGCCAAATCAATGAACTTATTTTTTTGATTAGTTTTTCTTCAATATAATATATAAGTCACAATAAAACACAATGATAATAATCACTAAAAATAAAGTAATACTCCTAATAAGTGGGATCAAATTTTAAATAAAATTGAACTACTCATACTCTGCTTTTAAAATCTTCTACTTTAACACGACATCCGCATGATGTGGTATGTGTACGGATGTCGTCCATGGACGACATGTTCTGCTTCGGTCTTTACTTCAAGATTTATGACGATGATCGGGCGTAATTCCTAGTAAAACTCTTAGTAATTCTAATTTTTATTGTAGTTTTATCAGATGCGCAATTTTTAATCTTTCAACACATTATTCACAACAGAATTATCGTTGTATTTGGTCCGTTGACTAGCACTTCTGCTGAAAACACTCTCGTAGCCAAAGGGTTAAACACTAGATAAAATTTTGCATTTGATTCTGAGATTGACTACTTGAAATTTAGTAGAAATACGGACGTAACGGATTCAAGGTATAAACATTGTTGAGCAACCCACAAAGAACAAAATGGTATAAAATACGTTAGAAAATAATACTTTTGACACATATTATGACAATTCCGTTTTCATTCATTTTCCTCATAATTTTGTTATAGCACATGCGATAAATGAAATAAATAACTAAAGAATGTAATTTAATTAATTATAAAATTATTTTAATTATTTCGAAACTCTACATACCGACATCATGAATGAATTTCTCTAGTTTTGTCTGCATTCCCCAATATCTGAATTCGACTCGGCATAACTTATAAGCGCACATAAGCGCCAAACCATCGGGCGTGGGCTGCGGTTTATCTTTGACCTGAATATTTCATTAATTAAGAATTAATTAATTAAATCCGATAAGCAAATTACTTAGAGATAAATTATTGTTCATCTTAGTTTCCAATATTTTAATTATGTATCTGAAATATTAATATTTACATTGTTCCAATAATATTCCAACCAGCTGTCATTCAATGGACCTCTATTTGTTTTCTCTGATATATAAAATTTGGGATCTTCTTCTCTCACGTAATCAGCTCCATAAAGTTGATCCTTAACTACATCTATTACATCTATAATATTAACAAAATAATATGTTGAAAATTTACAAATGTTTATTAATATTATGTTATATTCAATGAAAAATTTGAATTCAAGGCAACATATCTCTATTGAATTATTACCGATAATGAAAGTAGTAATCACAAACAATAAACAATGTACATCCTCAATATTTTTTTTTTTTGATTGAAATCATCGATTATATAACACAAATATATACGAATAAATATACACAAATATATACATAATGTTACTTTCACAACAACAAAAAATCTAAAATTGTTTTAAAAATCTAAAAAAATAATGAACTGTCGGTCAGTATATCATTTTATTGTGAATGTCCCAATGACAAATGTGTTCTAAAATAAATAATACAGTTAAACTGGTTTTCTTTCTTGTTGTTAAATGCGAAATTTAAGATACCTTATAAAGACAAAAAGATATATAAATTAAAATGTTCAATGAATGTTGCAACTTTTTATTAAAACAATTATCGTTTACTTACCAACAATTCTATTCCTATAATCGCTTCCAGCAAGATTAAAAACATTATCCTGATGCCCATCATCGGCATAATAATAAGTTTCAATTTCCAATGAAAATTTTTCTACAAAAGGACACGTGTATCGCGTTTTTGTATAAGGGTATGCATTCCAAGCCTCCTCCTCTACAGTGAGAGCTGATTTTGGTAAAAGTCCTTTGAACCAACCTAAACAAAAAATAACATTTTTAAATAACAATTAAATGTTAAATGAGAACTTGAATAAATTGATTCAACAACTAGTCAAGTAAAAATCTTAGCGATCTTAACATTTCTTGTATACTTTTATGGTATGAAAATAAAATATTGATGTTGATGCATCAAAAAATCCAACGATTTCTTTTATTTCTTCTGCAATTAGTATTATTTATCGTTGTATATAGAATGCACCAGAACTCAACATCAAAACTAAAAAGGATGACAGTATCGATTTGTAGCTATCATAAAAAAATTAGAAAAAAAAAATTAAGAAGTTTGAAAATTGTGAGCTTTTGAGTACAACCTAGAGCTTTGGCTAAACTATAACCATTCTTTGGTTATTATAGTTAATTTTCATTATTTATGTTCATTTTAACTTTGAAACTGTAACCATAAATAACATTTCTCCCAACACTGTCAAAATTGAATACACAATTGCACCAAGTTTTCTAGAATTAAGATTATTCGTTGAAGTATGAATTTAAAGTTTTCACAATTTGTCGACTTTGAAAGGCCATCCTTTGAAAAAAGCGCTAAAGTGTGTTGGCAAAAAATAACCTACTAAAACATTGGAAAGTTTTATTAAAAATTTAACTATTTACGCTGTATATATGATATACAGGATACATAATGAAAATTAACCACAATAAGCGAAAATGATCACAATATCACCAAAGCGCTAGGTTGCACTTAAAAGCTCATTGTTTCCAAACAACGTGATATATTCTTT